CTTTTGTACCAAGGCACTGCTCAGACAGTTACAACTGACTGGAAAGACAACTGACATACTTTTACGCACAATGAATAAAGAGCAAGTCATCAAAACAGCTACTGTGTCTGATTTGGAAATAAGCAGCTTGGACAGCAATGAATACATTGGTTTGCCTGATACTTATATGCAGACGGAAATCCCTGTAAAAAAGGAAAATATTCCTTCAGAAAAGGATCTGGAACAATGGCCATATCTGAAAGAGGTTAAACTCCCTCAAATTGATGCTGATATTGGTTTGCTGATTGGCAGCAATGTTCCAAAGGCATTGGAGCCATGGAAAGTTATAAGCAGCCAAAAAGATGGACCATATGCTGTTAAAACTGCATTGGGTTGGACTGTAAATGGTCCTTTTCGAAAGACAAATGTGACAAAGGATGGAAAACAGATTGTTATGGCTTGTAGAATTTCTGTTGTCAAGCTTTATGAAGTGATGCAACAGCAAATTGAAAAAGACTTCCCAGAGCGTCAACACGAGGAGCGCCTTGAAATGTCACAGGAGGACAGACTGTTCATGGACAGTGTCTCCAAGTCCATTAAGTTGGTAAATGGACATTATAGTATTGGTCTACCACTAAGGAATGATGACACTGTATTTCCAAACAATCGATGTGTAGCTGAACAGAGGATACTTAACTTGAAGAGGAAGTTTGCAAAGAACAGCAAATTCTATGAAGAATACAAAGCATTCATGTCGGACATCCTAAACAAAGGTTTTGCTGTTAAATTAACACCTGAAGACAAGGCTAAGACAAGCCAGAGCAGGAAGATTTGGTACATACCACATCATGGTGTTTACCACCCCAAAAAACAGAAGCTAAGGGTGGTATTTGATTGTGGTGCTAGCTTTCAGGGTACCTGTTTGAACAACCATCTGCTACAAGGTCCTGACTTGACCAATAGTCTTGTTGGTGTGCTCACCAGATTTCGACAGAAACCTGTTGCTTTCATGGCTGATATCGAAGGGATGTTTCATCAAGTAAGAGTCCCAGAGGAAGACTCTGACCTTTTAAGGTTTCTCTGGTGGCCGGATGGAGATTGGAGCAAAGAACTTGAAGAGTACAAAATGGTTGTTCACATATTTGGAGCTACATCTTCACCAAGTTGTGCAAACTTTGCTCTGCGACAGTGTGCAAAGGAGAACTTGGTGGACTTCAACTCAGAAACCATCTCTACAATACTTAGAAACTTCTACGTAGACGATTGTCTCAAATCTGTAGAAAATGACGATGAAGCCCTGACGCTCGCATCAAACCTGAGTACTTTATGTGCCAGAGGAGGTTTTAAGCTGAACAAGTGGATCAGCAATAGCAAAACACTGATTCTCTCCATAGCTGAGGAGAACCGAGCCAAGGAAATCAGAGACCTGGATTTTGACCAAGATATCTTGCCTGTCGAACGAGCACTAGGTGTACAATGGTGCACTGAGACGGACTCATTTAAATTCAAAATTCAGCTCCAAGACAAGCCACTTACTCATCGTGGGATCTTATCAATGGTTAGTTCGATTTTTGACCCACTTGGAATGCTGCTCCAGTCATCCTTCCTGCTAAACAGATCTTACAAGAACTCTGCCATTTAAAGCTTGGATGGGATGAGAGGATTCCTGAAAGTCTCCATCAAAAATGGTCTAACTGGTTAAGAAACATGAATTTGCTGAAAGACTACAAGGTTAAGAGATGCCTCAAACCTGATTGTTTTGGACAACTGGACTCAGCACAACTCCACCATTTTGCTGATGCAAGCGAAAATGGCTATGGCACGGTCTCCTATTTGAGGATGACAAATAAATACCAACAAGTTCACTTAGCCTTTGTTATTGGCAAGGCTAGAGTGGCTCCTCTAAAGCCTGTAACCATCCAAAGGTTGGAGCTCACAGCTGCAACAGTAGCTGTGAGAATGGATCGGATGTTACAAGAGGAGCTTGAAGTACCTCTCGTACCATCAGTCTTTTGGACTGACAGCACATCAGTGCTAAAATATATAAAGAATGAGATTTCTAGATTTAAGACCTTTGTCGCCAATCGAGTCGAAACCATTCGATCTGCTTCCAATGTTTCTCAGTGGAGGTATGTGAACAGCAGCCTGAATTCTGCTGACTGTGCTTCAAGAGGAGTTTCTGTACCCAGCTTCTTAAACCATGTGACTTGGATTTCAGGCCCAGCGTTTCCTCAGCTACCTGAATCTGAATGGCCCAAGACACCAGATTCAGATTTGATTCTCACTCCTGAAGATCCAGAAATTAAAGTGCTTGTATCAAACGTTGCTCTTCTGGAAGAGAGTGGAAATGCTGTTAGTAGGATACTGTTGTGGTATTCTGACTGGTACCGCCTTAAAAGAGCAGTAGCCTGGATTCTTCGTTTCAAAGCTCTACTGGCATCAGCTATTGCAAAGAAAAAGGATATTCTTGGAAATAAAAGGGACAAACAGGAAAAACAAGTTCTCTCTGTGCAAGAACTACAAGAAGCAGAAGATGCAATCATCATGTTCTTGCAGGAAACAAACTTTGCAGAAGAGATGACTGCCTTAAAGAAAGGAAATGCTGTGAAATCTAGCAGCCATCTCCTTAAACTATCACCAATTCTGCAGGAGGGACTAATGAGAGTTGGTGGCAGATTAAGCAAGTCTGCTATGCCATCAGAATCCAAACACCCTGTTATCTTGCCAAAGAACCACCATGTAACACAGCTCATCATTAGATACATTCATGAGAATATTGGACACAATGGAAGAAGTCACACTCTGTCGCGTTTGCGACAAAAATTTTGGATTCCAGGAGCTACTTCAGCAATTCGAAAGATGATCGCCAAATGTGTTCCCTGCAAGAGGATGAATGTAAGGAAAGGTGAGCAGATCATGGCTGACTTACCAAAGGAAAGGGTCAGTCCAGATGAACCGCCTTTTACCAACGTGGGTGTAGATTTCTTTGGCCCATTCAACATAAAGCGTGGAAGGTCTACTGTCAAACGATATGGAGTTGTTTTTACATGTCTCACTATCAGGGCAGTTCACATAGAGATTGCACATAATCTCAATACTGATTCCTGCATTAATGCAATCCGAAGATTTGTCTCCAGAAGAGGCCCTGTTAAAGTCATGAGGTCAGATAATGGGACCAACCTTGTTAAAGCAGAGTGTGAACTCCGTGAGGCTGTAAAAACTCTAAACAATTCCCAGATTCAAACTGCTGCACTGAAAAAAGGCATCTCTTGGCTGTTTAATCCACCTGCAGGATCTCACCATGGAGGAGTCTGGGAGAGACAAATTCGTTCTATAAGACGAATTCTCAGTGCTCTCCTAAACCAACAAACATTGGACGACGAAGGACTCGTCACCTTACTCTGCGAGGTGGAGGCTATCATCAATGACAGACCAATCACAAAATCATCAAACGACCCCATGGATTTGGAACCCTTGACACCAAACCATCTCCTACTTCTCAAAACAAACCCTTCCATACCACCTGGAGTGTTCTGCCCAGAAGATTCCTACAGCAGGAGAAGGTGGCGTCAAGTTCAGTACATGGCAGAATTATTTTGGAAGAGGTGGATAAAGGAATATTTGCCTGAACTACAACAAAGGAACAAATGGACAAGGAAAACACAAAACTTTGAAAAAGGGGATATTGTCCTGATCATTGACGATACAGCTCCAAGAGGTTCTTCAATGGGGCGAGTAACGGAAACCTTTCCGGATGCCAAGGGATTTGTAAGACAGGTGCAAGTTCGGACCAAGACCAACACTCTCCGTCGACCTATAACAAAGCTTGTTCTTCTCCTGGAGGCTTCATGTGGAGACTGAAGTGTAAACATACACACAATTGACTTGAAGACTTACAGACTTAAAAAAAAAAAAAAAGAGACTTTGGCTCCTCTATTTTGTTTTATGTAATTGACATTTGTACCTGCATGCCAATTAGGGGCCGGAATGTTGGAGCCAAATGCTTGATTTATGATTGAATATTTATTTCTAGTTTACTATTTTTTGTCTGGTTTTGGTACGATATATATGAACATGAAATATTTTGGTTTGAAGTATAAGTTGACTGACTTAATTTTGAAATTATGAATTTGTTTAGTTGTGTTTTGCTGCCATTCATAATTTACGTTGTTTCTCGCCTCCGCCCCTTCATTATGGACAGGTGACTGCAGCACCTGGATTATATTGGAGTTGGCTATTGGGGCCGGGTGAGCTTTTGGATTCAGTCAACGCAGCCATACAGTTTTTGACCGCTTCTGATGATTATTGTTGTTTTCTTTGAGTGGCAAAAGGCAACGAAATGAGCCGAAATGATCTGCCTGTCACGTCATGTTGCGGTAAGAAAATTTAAGTTTGTTTTGATTTTGGAAAATAAAGCGTCTTGAACAAGAGGAAAGAAAGTTTGCTGATTACATGGTCACATTAAACAACATCTAACAGATCTCAAGCGAGTCTTAACTTGGATGCTTCTGAACCAAGAGCCAAACGCATCTTTATTGGAAAGATTGCGCTATTAATGGGTATGCCTCAAAAGTCTGGCTGCATCTCTTTTAGTGATTGGCAGGTTTAGCTTGGAGCTCGTTCCTATTCAGGCCATAAACAAGAGATGCTCCCTTAATGCAGATGCCAGATTGTTCTAACTCACAGAGTGATAATGAAGCATCTGCTGTGTTCCAGCTCTTATTTTCCTTCACTTACCTTTTGTGTTCTCCTCCCATATTGGTTAGGAATACTGCCACAGCTACTGTTCACAACATTAAGGTGGACATCAATGGAAATGGTTCACATCTTGCTGCTATATGAGAATCTCTGATCCTGAGTAATACGTTTTGTTTATTAGAAATGTTTATATGTTTGAACTGTTAATACTGAAAAATTGACAGTAATGTAAGCTATGCTAGAGTGTATAACTCTTGTGCTTTTTATGGCGGTACTAAATAAAAAAACACAAATGCAAATTCAAAGCCTAGAAGACACTTGAATGAATAAAAGTATTTTATTAGATAAAAGTCCCTGTATAAATGTGTCAATAAAAGATGTAAATATTAGTTCATTTTGACAGCTGTTAAACCCTCACATAATAAAATATCAGACTTTCCATAACATTTTTCATGGCTCTGAAAGCTAACTCACTCAATGCTATTGTTTTTTAATGACATCACTTTGCTTTTTTGTACCTTTGTCATTTTTTTTCAACGTCAGAAAAGGGGATTTTTTAAAAGGGCATTTTATATATTTTGACAAAAAAATCAAAATAGTATGACAAACAAAATGCTGTCAAAATGTATTTTCAATAACAGGGAAAAACATACATTTGGCAGATAAAATCTTAAGTGTATCTTGTTGCTTCAGCTGCAGCAGATAATTTTCTCTGACCGTCGCCACAAATCTGTTATCTATGGTCCTAAAAGTCCCAGATAAGAGATGAGAATCATGATCTTCTTCTGTCCAAACTTAATCATCTCCATCATTTTGGGTCTTCATCACTGAGAAGGCTCACTGACTCCATGAGCAGCGCCTCCTCCAGACTGTCGGCGTAACTGAAGCCCTCCAGATCAGCTTTAAGGAGAACCTTGAGAATGGAGGGCTGAACCAGAGGGGGAGATGAAAAGAAGTCAATATTTACTCCATTGGTTTTATAGCTTAAGAATGAAAGAGCTGAGAGGCGCACCTGTAATCCTGAAAACATCAGCTTCACTTTTTTCTGTTTGAAGTGCCTCATCAGGTCCCGAAGCTCACTGATCACTGTATAATCTATAATGCTCACATGATGGCAGTCCAACACCACAGACCTGGCAGGAATAGCTGGAGGAGAGAAGTGGAAGATGGCTAAGAAAGGTAAGATGGAACTAAAGGAATCAAATAATGTAGATGAGCTCATTCTTACTCTGCAGAGCCTGAGTGTGTATGATGTGGTTAAGATGCTCCACTGCAGGGAAGCTGAGTCCATTGCCCAGCTCCATCACCAGCACACCATGATCGGATACCTGTACAGGAAACAAAACGGCACTTTTAAAGTCATGAATTAGCTAAGATTACACTTCTTTCATGATTTAATTTGCCTGAAACGAGGCTGATTACTGTCACGCCTGTAGAAACAACCAATTCTTTAAACGGAACCTGTCTGACAACACGAAGTAGGCTAACAAATCTATAAAACAAGTAATTGTTACCTGATCTGAACCGTTTCAACAAAAAAAAATAAAGAAACCAAGTCACTGGCATCTCTGAGTCTGCAAAGGATTTCACAACCATTTATAAGACTTTGGGAATAATTCAAAGAGAAGTAAAGAGGAAATGATGAGGAACCTTTCAAGGGTTGGCCAGCTTAGCTATATTACTTCAAGAGAGAACAAGATCCGAGGAACTGCAGGATTCAGCTAAGAGATGATAATTCAACATGCATCAATAGGGGGGTTCTACAACTAGATGTGCTGATCACACAAGTCATAAAGGCTTTTCTAGCATCTAGAAAAAAACAAGACATTTCAGAAATCCCTAAGTGTTTCATAGAAATGATTCTCAGAACTCATGAGAGAAATCTAACATGCTTTGGAAGTTGTGTGCTGCTACATCCTGTGTAAAAGTAACACCACAATTCAGTAAGAGAACATGATAAATACAGTTTTGCAAGGTGGTGGTAGGGTGATGTTTTGGAGTTATTTTGCTCTTTTAGACGCGAAGGACTTGCTTTAATTGATAGACTTGATTTAGCCTCTCTAGCTAAACAAATCCCAGAGGAGAATATCCAACAATGAATATGGGAGCTTAAGATGAACCATACTTAAGTTATGACACTGGACAACAATCTAAAGTACATCAGTAAGTTTTCCTCTGGATGGTTAGGGTTTAGGGAGTAAGGACTTTTCATGGTTTCATATTTTCTTTTCCCTTCATTAAAAAAAAATAAATACATCTTGTATTTACTCTAGTTTTCTTTCTCATGTTAAAATTAGTTTTATAATTGGGGACATATAGGTGCAACAAATTTCAAAAAGACAGGAGAAACCTGTAAAAGGACAAAACCTTTTCATGACGCTATAAAACTTCAACATCGAGCAGCTTCACTCTGCCGTGATGATTTCACTGTTTAGTTAATAAATAAATAACTTTTACAGGTACCACACTGAAAGTTGGATAAAATACCTTTGGTTAAATCATAAAGAGAGCTCTTTTGCATCCCATGGGATGTTTTGAGATCCCATGGGACGCTGAGCTGACTAGAATCATGTAAAGAGATTAACTGGGTTCGGGGTCGAAGATTATTAAACTGTAAAGACTAAAAACGTGTTAAAAGGGAGAGATTCTGATTTTAGCGACCTCAGGTTTGTACCATGGGAAAATTGGAGCAGAATTATCATGACTGCTGAATTTTGAAAGAAGCTTTAACCTGATTTTAGTTCAGATCATGTAGCAGCATGGTCTTTTTATCCATTTGTGATTGGTGAAAACCCAACAGGACTGTGGTTATGAAGCTACAAGACAAGCAGCACGTTAAGCTAGTTAACGTTTCTGTAAATGTTTAAGAATCTATGAATTGCTTAATTTCATGAGAGAGAGGAGAGTCCATATATTGGTCATAAAAGCATATTCTCAATAATGTCGTCACACCTTTATCTTTGGTCTGGCCATGGTGTACAGAAGCAGGGCTCCAGACACAGCTACACCTCCTATGATGCCATATTGCACCTGCCAGAAACTCAACAGGAATGTTGCAAGGAAAGGAAGCAGGTCCAACCCTGTGGATCACACATCATTGTTCAGGTGAACTGACAGAACCATGCAGGATATACCTATAAAACTAAATATAAGACTCTTACTGTGTATCCTCCACATCTGTATCACGACACGGTAATCAACCATAGGAGCCACGGCGCAGATGATGACAGCAGCTAGAGAAGCTTTAGGGATGTAGTAGAAAGCCGGCATGAGAAAGGCCAACGACAGCAGCACAATCACACCTGCAGATGCACAGGGAAAGAAAACAGCTCACAATAATAAAAAAATGCATCTGCCAGAAAGTAAAGGTTTGGCTTTAAATACAAAGGACCGAATGCATAATTCCTGTTTTCTGCTTTTAAGATATGCACTTACATTAACTAATTTATTTGGGTATGAGTTTATAAAGTTTCTAGTGTTATTACAACAGAAATGTGTAGTAATACAGTCTGACACAAGAGGGCAGAGGAGTTCAAGTAAAAAGACCAAAACCTACTAGTAATGACTCCACCAGCAGGCGTACAAACCCCCGTCTGAGAGTTCACTGCTGTCCTGATGGGGAAGAAGAAACTGTTTTGGTTTTTTTTTTTTATAAAAAAACAAACAAACAATTGTTTTAATCTTTCATAAATTTGAACACAAACCGTCCAAAGCTGCCAGTAACGGGGTACGCTGACACAAAGGAGCCCATAATGTTTGTAACACCAATGGCCAGCAGCTCCTGGTTGGCATCAATCCTGTAGTTGTTCTGACTGGCTGAGTGGAGGCAGGAAATTGAAAATAAGCTGTCAGTTACAAAGTACACTGATTACAGCTTCACCGTGCTTACGGGATTCCTGCAAGAATCATACATTAACTGTCAGCACAGTTTGCATTTGAAGCAAAAAAAACCTCATTGCATAATTTCACACAGAAAAATGTTATGATAATCCAACACTTGGAGAAATATTTCATCTTGATAAATTATATATATATCAAAATAATCTCTACTTCCAAGGTAGCAATGCATGAATTTGAAATGAATATAGCTGGAGAACATTTGCATTTGTATAAGTTGATTTAGCTGTGTATGGATTTTCAGTTATCAATCTATGACTTTCTGACTAGTTGGCTCATAAATATGACAATAAGAGAGGGGTCTAGTTCTGGTATTAACTGTTCAAAATTAAAAAGAAATTAGACCATGCTATTCGAGGCAGGCAGATGGTTGCTGAATGTGCATAAGTCAAGAAATGGCTGTAAGAAAGTAGCTTCTGGTTCAGACATGGTCAGATTTATAGTGAGGGTGGATATTAAAAAGATCAAAACATCTGGAAGCTTAACAAACCAGGAACAGTAGGTAATGGAGGTGAAAAGCATCTTTAAAGCTTACAGTAAAGACAGACTTTCTGGGATCTCTGTATTCATAACAAACATCTGATTTTATCTGCATGCAAACTGATTAACTGGAAGAGATGGCAGAAAGAGTTTGCTCTTTCTTAACATCACATACATAAACATGGGGAGTTTATCAAACTCTGCTGCGACAGGAGAACCAGTGATGCTGTTTGCTTGTTTCTCTTTTAAGGAGAATCAGTGATGCTGTGGGCTGGTTGCTCTGTTAAAGGCCCATGTAACTTTGCACCAGAGAAGGGCACAAAAGTCTACATATCAAAATAAAAATATGGAGTACAAAAATAAAATGATAGGTTGTAACATGATCTTTTAGCATGACAATGATCCCAAATGGTCATTTCCACACAGAGTAGTCTCCCTGTCATAAAATCCTTAACATTCCATCAGCATCAAGACCTACAAGTTTCAGCAAAGAAGAGCTGTGAGATGAGCTGGAGAGGAAAAAATGTAACAGAGGTTGCAGGACTGTAGATGTCTAGAGAAATAGCTCTATCTCTTTATGTTTATGCTCTAACATTGTGAAATTTTATTGAAGACTCTTTGCTGTCTGATAGACAGTTGACTTTGTAAATATACATCTCAATTAAGGTTTTTGTCGACTATTCTACTGCAGCATTTTAATTAGGGGGTGACAATAAAAATGAATGCAACTGAATGCCATGGTCTTGTTTGTTCTAAGGTCTGATAAAAGGATTTACCAAAAGCTTTGGCAATAGCAATGCTCTCCAACAGACCCATCAGAGGAATCACTGCCAGCCCTCCTCCAAAGTCCTGCATCAAACACAGAGAGCAAACATTACAGGTTAGCAACACGTCAGTTAGATTTAAAAGAGGGAATAAGATGGTCAAATGACCAATGCTTACTAACCTCTACGATCTCTTTAAAAGAGACGGTAGTTCCATTGGAAGTGGTGTCCGAGGTGGGCGGGGGGCTGAACGCAGGTAATCCCTGAGCAGTGTGCCCAGTGAGTGTAAACACATGATGTCCATAAGCTTCCCAGGAATATGCCACAATAGTCGCAGCCACAACCACCAAGGCATTCCGCACTGCTCAGAACAGAGACGTATAGCATCTAGAAATTAAACCAAACCGTTTTTATGTTTTTTTTTGCCTGCATCAGATGAGTACTGACTGGTTGCTACAGTCCACACGAGTTTCCTGGCAAATCTGGAGCCCACTGATCTGTTCTCAGAGCCCGGATGTGACTTCATCAACATCAACGTTATTAGAAGAGCGAGACAAACCAGGCCCAGGACCACGTCACCCACTCTGGCCTCTGGGATCTTGTGGAAGGTGTAGTAAACTTCCAGGAAGAACTGATGGGGAACATCCTGGATTCCCAGAATATTCTGCAAACATGAACCAGAATAACCACAGAAATCACTGGCCAGTTTAAACCAGTTCAGCAGCATTATAAGCCCAACAACTGAAGATTCTAATCAGTCTAAAATTTCAGTTTAGATCCATCAGTCTGTTGGTTATATGCTGAATTGCAACATTCATTGACTTTGGTCCTAAAAAAATGTGGGACTATTTTAGCCCATTAAATGCTGACCCCACAAAAAAAACAAAAACAAAAAAAACAAGCAGACCAAAAAAAAAAAACACTCACCCACTTGATTTTTTATTAAATTAGCAAATTTACAGTACATAAAGAAGGTGATCTTAACCTAATGAAAAACAATAAAAGTTTTTATTTTGAAGGGATTTTAAAAAGCGGAGTCAATAATTCAATGAATTAATATTTTTGAAGCTTAATGAATACATCCAACCACAATGGTAGGGCATTCAACAAATACATTTTGAACTGTTCACTTGCACAAAAGGCCCGAATAAACAGAAAGTCATAAGCAAGACACACGTAAAAGGTTGAAAAATCTATCTATTCCCAACAATGCAAAACCATAAAAACAAAAAAACATTCGATATGCATCAGTAGAGCTAAACTTATGCAAAATAACCAAAATAAAAAAGAGAGAATGAACCGGCTGTTTTCCACCAATAATTAAGAACCCATTTTCTGCTGCAGAAAGACACCAATCTTCAGTCGACTAGAAGTATAAAGCAAGTAGAAATAACTAAATGGCTACTTAGAGAATATTCTCTTTCTTCACCAGCTTTTGACGACCTTGTTGCTGAATCCTACACTGTCTATCACTTAAATTTGCCAGTGCTTGTTGTTGTTATTTGTTTTGTAAAACACATGTGGAGGTTTAATGATCAGCTAAAGTTTCTCCTTTTTTTCCCCAGGTGTTCATGACAGTAACAAGCTTCTCATTCTTATTCTGGTTAGAAACCAGTAACTGTATTAGAATGCTGCATGAACACTTAAGAGCCACACATGATGCTATCAGGTATTGCTAACTATCTATGGAGAAGTTAACGCTTTATAAATCAAGTTACCATTTTTAGTAACTTAAAGGTATAGTGGAGGATTTTCGCGAAGTTTTGAAAAGACACCCCCTCCACTTAAAAAAACAAACAAACATTACCCTGCACACGCTCCTGAGAGGGAAAGCCTATTAAATGTGTGTGAGGGCATGCACAAGCCCATTTCTCCTCGTGCACACTCTGTTTAAAAGTTGTTGTTTGCATCACTCATAAAAGCTTACTTTCCAAAAGAAGATATGCAATTTCTCCACTATATCAGACTCACCACCGGTAAGTGACAATGGGGACATGCACGTAGAATAGCTCTACGTAAACATATCACCAAAATGATTGACAGTTAGGAGGACCACTTATTTTTGATGATGCACCTGGAAAAAGAAAATCTTCCACTATACCTTTAAAGGTGATAAGGATAGAAACTTTGCTGCAAAGTAGCAATAAAAACACCACTTTGAAGAAAACAAGGCAAAGTCATGAGTTCAAATGTTGTCTGTAATCTCTGACCTAATGCTGAGTGTAACAGCTTCACAGAATCCCAGCAGTAATCTACTGTAATGTTGCCTGCAGTGTGTCACATGTTTCCTACTGCAAATTAAGTAAAAGAAGTTATTTAAGTTAGAAACTGTCCAAATAATAGACTTTCAGACACCTGAAAACCTGACAGGTGATTCATTTCCCTTCAAAGTAGCTTTTCTTTGCTCTGACAGATCTGTTAAGGAGTTTCAGAGAGTGAGTCTGTTTGATCAAATTAGATAATTCCTAACTGACTTCAGATCCTCAACAAATTTGTGCAATAAATAATTAAAAATCTGTCTCCATGAGCAGCCAGGTGAGGAAAATATAGAATGACATATTTCAGCAGAATGAAAAACAATAATTTGATTATGAACTTGTCTTTAGGTCTCAAAAAGCCTTTTTTTAAAGAAAAAAATAGTCACATGTCCAGAGATAGAGAAAGCCATGGACTATTTCAGCGAGGGGATGCCAACCCACTCCCTGAATAGATCTAAGTCCTGCTGACAGACTGACTTTACTATGAGAAAGATCAGCATTTATAAACAGCTTAACTTCTGTCCTACTCACGTCACTCACTGGTATCCTTATAAACACACAAAGTAAATTGGGACAGACAGTTCCCACATTATTAAACAATCTCAAAGAGTATACATTTTTACAAACTGAATTTATTATTGACATTTTTATAAAAAAGGGTGCATATTTTTGCAACAGAATTATGAGCGCTGAGATCACATTGCATACAGAGATGTGTGTGTCTTACTTTGACCTGGCCGAAGCCGATGGTTACTGCAGCAGCGCAGGTGAAGCCTTTTATCACAGGGTAGGAGATGAAGTCCAACAGGAAGCCTGCAGAGAAACATGAACGATATACAGAAAGAGTAGAGATTGTGTTTTTTGCAGCTAAAATTATTTAACCTTTAAAGATAATGTACATAACAGATGGAGAAGTTAAAGCTGGGCTTTAGTTCCCATAGAGTTGAACACAAAAGCATCTTTGTATTAAACAGACTCTTATCTTTATGTCAATAAACATTAGTTGACCTTTTTTGGAAGTGAGGCGACCACAAATCCAGCTGAGTCAACAGATTTCAGTGAGGCCTCAGTAGCTGCAGCTGCAGCAGCGTCTCTCTCACCTAATCTGAGGAGCGCCATGGCTGCCTGGATGATTCCACAAAGGAGGCTGAGCAGGACGGCCCGTTGAGGCTCTTCTCCCACCACAGAGAAACACAGGAGGGACATGATGGCTGTGGGACCCAGCGTCACATCCTTAGATGTCCCCAGTAGGGTGTAGATGAACCCCCCCATGAAGGCAGAGTAGAGTCCATACTGTCACGGAAAAATTTTTTTAAGTTCGAAGTTGGAGCAAGGTTGTTGTGACGAATAGTTATGTCTTCTTTAAAGCATCTCAGCTTCAAAATTATAATCTCCAGCCGTAATTGGGTACCTTACAAATCTAACTTTTTTATATTTTATCATATCCTCACCACAAACTTCAGTGTGTTTTATTGAGATTCTACCAGACAGATCAACACAAGGCAGCACATATTAATATAGGTAGATAAAAAATGCTAAAGGGTGTTCAAAATCTTTTTACAGATAAAAATCGAAAACGTTCTGTGTTCCCTTGGATCAGGCCCACTGTACTACCCGTTAATATAATCCAGTAAAACCAATCGCCAGAAGTCACCTTTTTGGATTCATACAGCCCCCTCTGTGTGTAATTACAGAGTATTACAATACACTAAGGTTTGTTAGGAAATAAGATTCCTACATTATGAAACAAAAGGGTGGCAGCATTATGCTGTGGGATGTTTTTTCTTGAGTTGGGAAAAGAAATCTGTTTTTGATTTGAGCAAAGTCAAGGAAGCCATAGAGGAAATATTGTTAGAGATTAAAATGTATGCATTTGTTTGAATGTTCTAGTCAAAAGTCAGAACCTAAACCCAGTTGAGAATATACGGCTTGGAGGAAAATGAAGTTTGAGCTATTTTGCAAAAAGGAATGGGGGGGAAAAAATAAACTTAGACACAGAGTGTATACAAAAACGAAATTTTGTTTTGTACAGCTCTCATGACATTTCTGTTTCTTAAAGTGCAGCAGTGATCAAATAGTCTCAAAATGTGTCATGCTGATGGAGACTCAAAAGGTGGGATAACCAGGTAATTACTCAGCCAAGGAAGGCTAAATGCACACCACCCATGGTCAAATTTTCATTCGTAAGTAATTTTATTAACCATCATTTTCCTTTAATGCTTTGCATATGTCCTTCGTTGTAATGTGTCAAAATGTGAGAAAACACAAGGAGCATACTTTAGCAAGGCAGTGTTTGTTTAAAAAAAAAATTTCAGGATCTGCTAAAAAAAAAAAAAAAAAAAAAGTTATTTCCAGTTAAATGAAAAGCTTAATTTGGGATTTACCTGCACAGGAAGTCCAGCTACTTCAGCATAAGCAAGAGCCTGTGGTACAGTAGTTAGCCCTACAGTAAGGCCTGCCAGCAGGTCCATCTGCAGGTACTTCAGCTTGTACTCAGGTAGCCAGGAGAGAATGGGCAGCCAGGACTTGAGGGTTCTGTAAGAACAGCAGCGCTGGGACGACCCACTTCCCTGCAGGGGTCGATCCATCCTTAGAAAACCTTTGGAGGTAAAGAGAAGAACCAGGAAATCTATCAAAAAACTAAATCTTCTTTAGAGGTGTATGACCAAAGAACTAAAGCACTTACAATTCCTTTAGTTTTGTGTTTTCCTGCAAAGCCCATCAGCTGTGGGTCCAGTGTGGCTCTTTTACCAGCTGTGACTCCGAGCATTCAGGGAAACACAACAGACCTGTTGTGGTGGAATGCATCTGTCTCTCTTCCTGTGTGGATTTCCTTCAATCAAACAGACTTTTTATCTTCAGATGATGACAAAAAGAAAACAGCAAAAAACCCAGAAGCATTAAAAAACAAGCAGGCTTCCTAAACGTTTCACATCGGTGATGCTCAGGTGTGTGACTCCTGGCAATCATACCATGATCATGTGACAGGCAGGTACATTCATAACACCTGACTGCTGTCTGCTGCAGATCCTCTTCAGTTCCTGTCAGGGACGTTGTCTCTATTGGGGCAAACAGGCTGCCTGAACTCAAAATGCTACTCATCTGTATTACCCTATATATCCCATAATAATCCAGTTGTAAGCATGAACAAAAAGATGTTTGAAAAATGACAAAGAAGAAGGAAAACAAATATTAGAATATAAAACAACTTCTTAGCCCACCTTGCCTTGTTATAGTTCTCTTCTAGACAGCTGTTATCTGCTGAGCTGTGATTTATTTGCCACTCACTTCTTCTTCTTCTTCTCACTGAGTCGAATATCAGCTTCGGCAGTTACACAACACTTCTCTAAAACCCGGCCGAGCCACTACTTCCTGTTTTCGCCCAGTCACGTGACTCTCATCACGTGACTGATGCTCCGGTTGTTTCCGGAAGTTTGAAGCTTGACCGCAGTGGATTGTGGATATCTGCGGGGATTTTAACGTTTAGCCTTTTGGATGATTACTCGCCAGTTTTTTTCTTTTTTTTTGTTGTTGTTTTATCAAAGATTTAAACGGTCATTATGTTGATTCAGTTCATATTCCTACTTTCAGCCTCTTGTTGCGTCTCAGAGTCAAAGAGGAGAAACGTGCTTCTTATTATTGGTGCGTAACCTTTAATAACTCAGATTTATTTTCAGGAAATTAAAATGCTTTGGCACGGATCAGTTAAATGCAATTTAATTCAATTCAGTTTATTTATATAGCACCAATTCACAACACAGGTCATCTCAAGGCACTTTACAGTTCACCAGATAATTCATACAGAGGTTTACCTAAGTAAAACCAGTTAATTGCATCGACTCATTGACTTAAATGCAATCCCTCTCACTAAGCATGCTTGTAGCGACATTGGAGAGGAAAAACTCCCTTTTAACAGGAAGAAACCTCCAGCAGAACCAGGCCAGTCAAGGCCATTCAAGGAGACAAAAATAAAAAAAAATTGGACTTTATTGATCTTACATTGGATAAATTTACCTCTGCATTTAACCCATTGGGGGTTGAGGGTCTTGCTCAGGGACCCAAAGTGGCAGTCTGTGGGAATGGGGTTCAAACTCAGAACCTCAGGATTCCAAGCTCTATGTCCTAACCACTAGGCCGTCACTCAGACAGACAGACTTTCCTGCCATCTAACAGTGTTTTTATCCCACCTTCACACTAATCACTGATCTAGTTTGCATTTAGCTGAAGCAGACTCAAAGAGACTCCCTGAGCTCGAACCTGGGAGCCCTGAATCCTACAGGTATGGTTTAGCTGCAGGTGACAGAATCTTTGCAATGTATAAAAGTGCAATCACAAATAAAGAAGAGGATTATCATTGTTATTGTGGAGGTCATGAACAACTGTTTTCTGGACAACTGTAGAGTTAGCAGTCCTCTTTATGATTGTTCCTCCCTTAACATAACATTAAGGTATTAAAAATAATCGCTTCTATGGTCAGATGTAGCATAAAGTTTGTTTTCATCAGCTGAACACGATATATCATTAAAGGTAACATAATTCAGTGCTTTAAACAACACTTTCTTTGATTAAAACGTCATCAACATCTTCCAACTTATTGAGAAGCACCTGATAAAATTTCTTTCTTATTTTATTTTTCAGCTGATGATGCAGGCTTTGAAACGGAGGTCTATAACAACTCTGTGGTCCATACCCCCCACCTGCGGTCGTTGGCGCAGCGCAGCTTGGTCTTCAAGAACGCCTTTACATCTGTCAGCAGCTGCTCCCCAAGTCGCTCAGCCATCCTCACAGGGCTGCCGCAGGTAAGACTCACACAGAGGGACAGCATCACTGTCCCTGTTGGCAGTGAGGGTGCTGAGGAGTTTCCTGTGTTTTCAGCATCAGAACGGCATGTACGGCCTCCATCAGGGAGTTCATCACTTTAACTCGTTCGATGGAGTGCAGAGTCTGCCCATGCTTCTTAGGGAAGCCAACATACACACAGGTACACAAGTCAATAGGATAAACACTGGACTTGAGAATCTAGCTTAAAGATATATATATGTAGTGTTTCCATTAATCTGCTGTTTCTTTTGGTTTTTTCGCAGGTATAATTGGAAAGAAGCACGTCGGTCCTGGGTCTGTTTACCCTTTTGATTTCGCCTACACTGAGGAAAACAGTTCCGTTCTCCAGGTGGGCAGGAACATCACCCGAATAAAACTCCTGGTCCGCAAGTTCTTCCAGACCCATAAGCAGGAGACAGCTGAACGACAATCAATGAGAGACGAGGGAGTAAACAGCAAGTCAAACATTGAAAAGGAGGAGAGGCCTTTTTTTCTTTATGTGGCCTTCCATGACACCCACCGATGCGGCCACTCGCAGCCCCAGTATGGTGCTTTCTGTGAGAAGTTTGGAAATGGAGAGGCGGGAATGGGTAGAATTCCTGATTGGACACCGGTATATTACACACCAGAGCAAGTTAAGGTCAGAGGTGCATTGTTTCCTCTGGAATCATAAAGTTCTAACCTGTAAAAGTGAATTCAGAGTGTTGTGTTTCTGATTCCTTTTATTCTTGACCTCCTCAGGTTCCTCCCTTCATACCCGACACCCCTGCTGCACGAGCCGACCTGGCTGCACAGTACACTACAGTCAGCAGGTTGGATCAGGGTCAGTTGCAGCACCTTGACCTAAGCAAGAAATAAAACAGTTAGGAGCACTAAACCTTAAAGCTGTGTCTGTTCCTCTGCAGGTATTGGGCTAGTCCTTCAGGAGCTCCGAGACGCTGGCTACGAGAACGACACTCTGATCATCTACAGCTCTGATAACGGGATCCCTTTCCCAAACGGCAGGACCAACCTCTATCAGTCTGGGACGGCTGAACCTATGTTGGTTTCCTCCCCAGAGCACAATCAGCGGTGGGGGAACACCAGCCAAGCCTACGTCAGCCTCTTGGGTGAGAAACAGCCATCAGACAACAGAATGCACAGCTTTCAACCAGTAACTGATAAGGGAGCGCCACTCATTTTTGCTTTTGGCTGGTATACGAGATTTCCAAATGGACTGAATGGTGTTATTTCACTAAAACCAGTGTGAGATTTCAGATTAGAGCTTTCAAAACCAATAGGTATGATCAGCATCCTCGTCATTTATTGCCATCATTGGTAAGTTGAGAAAAAAACCTAAATCTTCTGATTAAAAAAAAAAATGCTGCTCAAATAAAGTTTTTTTTCTTTTTGTGTAGACAGTAAACCCTATTTAAGAGTTAATTGTTTGAACAAAATATTGGAATGTAACAGAATTTTTTTTTATTTAAAAAAACACTGTTTAAAGTTTCTCAGAATGTTTTAGAGCCTATTTTGTGTTTATATTTTTTAGACATAAATGCCACTGTCTTTTAAACACTTAAAAACTGGATTGATGTGATGACATGCTGTTCGTGTTAGAAAGATTTATGTTGATCTTCATTGACAAAGTAATGGAAGCAAGAAAAGTCCTACTCATAAGCACGGTGGAGGACTTATGATGTTAGTGAATAGCATTAGAAATTGTATGAGATCAGAACTGTGAAAACGGATCATCATTTACCAGGATAGTAACCAAACCATATGACAATATCAACACAGACATTATTTAACAAGCAAAAGCAATCAAACTTTTTCAACTGCCTCCACAGTCTCTGATCTAAAATCACCTGCAGGCTGGGCTGAAGAGATACTAAAGAAAACTCTGGACTGGACAGGAAGGATTAACTTTAGTCCTATTAACTGCTGTGGAACCAAAAGGTGGGGTAGATGGGAGATGACATGGGATTCATGAAATCAAAGGTTGGATTTTTCCTGATTATCAGCTTAAGATAACTATTGCAGTTATTTGTTTTCTTTACCAGGGTTACCAAGTCTCTCATCCAGAGTTTATTAAGTGTATTTTGAGTATAGAGATTTGTTTCTTTTCTCTCCACATTTCATCTCAAATTTCCCAGCAAACTTTGGTCTACAGAAATTGTTATGGTTCCTCCTTTTTTTAAAAATTTTTTATTCATTGCATGCTCAATTTACTGCAAGCAAATATATAAAAAATGGAAAGACTGCCTCAAAAACATCCCATGTGCATTAACTCTACCTGGAACTATTTATGTTTTTTTTTATTTTACTACAATGTTTTTTAAACTTTTCACTTCTAAACTTCAAAATAGATTTTAAATTGAAAAGTGAGCCATATTTTGTAAAACTTTACCGGTAAATAAATTAAACACGAGTATAGTGAAAACACAAACAACATCAACTCCAAAAACCAATTTATTACATGTATTTGTAATTGCTTTGCTTTTTGTTATTATCTCTTTCTAGAATACAGAAAAACATGTTTTAAGTATTTATACATATATTATATATTATTATACATATTTTTTATTAATTTTTTCCTTAATCTGACTCTCTTGCCACTAGAGGGAGACTGAGAATCACAACGCAAGCTGCTCTATTGCTGAAATAAGATATGTTAATACTGGTTGTTTTATTCCTAAAAAAATATATATATATAATTATATTTGATAAGATCAGAAACTGTTTTATTTTTCGTCAGTCATTTATACTCCTACCCCTCCCAACCCAATAGAAAAAAATTAGTCTCATGTCACACAAAATAAATACAGAGAAAAAAAAAGCTAACAAAAGAGGAGCCTCTATACATTTAAAAACAGTATTCCTATAAATAACAATTCTCTCAGAGCACCACAGAGTTTTAGCTCAATGGATTATCAAAATATCAGTTGAATAAAATACAATTGAATAAGGAAGGTATGTTTCAGTTCTGACAAGATCGCCATTTTAGACAGATATAGCAGCCTTCTGTGCGTTCTGGAGAATTATCTCAGTTTAACAAGTTGTAATCACACATTTATTATTAAGGTGTTCCTGTGTAATTACTTGAACATTATGATTGTTAGTCACATTTTAAAATGATGAAAAGCTAATGGATTTTATCTGTCTATGAAGTCATCAAAACCGCATTTGAATTAGGACGTTTTGCTGACAAATTATGTTTTACGGGTTCTTTGTCATCTCAAACTTTAAAATAACAGTATTCACCTTTCTGTAGCTTTAATATTGTTTAGATCAAATTAAAAAGAAATTGCTGTAGATGTGTAGCTTTGAGCCCTCTCTTGAATTTTGATGTTAACTGGTTAAAGTTGAAATTAACTTTTTATTCATTTTATTGTCCTCTGTTCAGACATTACTCCCACCATCCTGGACTGGTTTTCTATCCCCTATCCATCCTATAGTCTCCCTGAGAGTCCGTCCTTAGAGGTCCTCCTCACCGGTCGCTCCTTGCTGCCTGCTTTGACCTCTGAGCCAACCAGCTGGAACACAGTCTACTCCAGCCAGTCGCTGCATGAGGTCCGGACCTCAGCCTCATTCAGTCTGGGGGGGAACCAAACATCAGGCTCTGACTAATGTACTCTCATTTCAGATTACCATGTTCTACCCGATCCGTTCTGTCCAGCAGGGGGTTTATCACCTGCTTCACAACCTGCACTACAGAATGCCTTTCCCTATCGACCAGGACCTGTACGTGTCCCCAACATTTCAGGACCTGCTGAACAGAACCAGGCTGCAGCAGCCGACTCACTGGTTCAAGAATCTGGACCAGTATTACTACAGGGAGCGCTGGGAACTGTACGACTCCAGGTCTGTGACGCTAAGGAAATACATCCTCAATGTCAGGATTCCCAGCTGGGTTAAAAACAGACACATGAAAGAAATATGTGAATAAAAAATGAAGAGTAAAACTAATTCAGATTTTTTTTTTTTTTAAACAAAAACAGAACTTTACAATTTTTTTAAAAAAATACAGTGATTCCCAAAAGCATTCTGAAAATATAATTTGTAAGGATTTCTTAGCATATTACAATAGGGGATAACGTAACAAGCTTTTTGCTTGCATACCTCCTTTCTCTACCTCACCCTTTAAATCCTAAACCAGTGAGGCGACTGTAAGCTAATTATTATTTAACCATAGTTTCTGTCTGTTAGTTTCTCTCTGGGACGATCATTCTTTCTCATTTAAGTGACAAACTGATGTTTCAGAATCAATGACAGATAAATTAATTTTGTAAGTGATCATTAGTTTTAGCCCCCCCTCCCTTTGCTCAGCTGTTATGTAACATAATAAAAGAGGAAAAACTTCTAGAAAATATTATTGAATTACAGCTAATGGCATATGGGAGAGGTTAATGGCATCTACATATGTATATATAAAAGATTCTGTTTACATCTGGAATATATTTTGCAGCTATAAATGATTGTAAATCAAGCTAGATTTTAAATAAGTATTTGCTTAGCCTTGTTTCTTTTGTTGACATTAGATTCAAACTTCATACAAAATCTGTACAATTTTTACAAAAGAAAAAGATGAGAACAATGCAATCAATCTGATGGTACACCACTGCTGGTTCTCTGGCATACTTTATATAATGGCTGGTAGCGTGCTTTACAGTCGTGAGTCATCAGGGTAAACAGCAGGGGGCTTAACACACAGCCCTGGGGGGAGCCAAAGCTCAGTTGGTTGGTGTTTAGGCTGTGAAATTAACATTTTGGTCATGTGCCGTGTATTTACCAGGATGCCAGTAAAGAACTGGTAATGCAATAAATGATATTGGTTCCAGTTAAAAGTCTAGAGCCAGAACTCTGAACCAGTTACAGACAATTCAATAAAGGGCAGCTGATTAATGCTTCATCATTAAGAGATTTGGGGAAAGTGGTTTTGTTTTGTTTTTTTTTTCACCCTGTTTCATGTTGACTACATTCAACCTGACAAAGATTTAGACAAATTTATGAAACAAACATTATTCAATCCTTTTGAATAAAGTTTCTAGTCTAAGTGCTGTATGTAAAACCTAATGATGCTATGTTATGACCAACCTCAGGAAAGACCCTCTGGAGACAAAGAACCTGGTGTCGGACCCGTCCTACAGCAGCATCCTAGAGAACCTGAGGCAGCTCCTGCAGAAATGGCAGTGGCAGACAGGAGACCCTTGGGTTTGTGGACCAGACTACGTCCTGGAGGAAAAACTAGAGCCCCACTGCAGACCCCTTTATAATGGGCTCTGATAGACTATAATGGTGGGGTATTCCCCCCCCCCCCCCCCCCCCCCCCATCTTAGCTGACTTGATTTCAAAAAGTGCAATTTTTCTTAAATGTACATTGATTTATATTTTTGTAATGGAGATCAGATTTGAATAAAAGGAAATTAAACATTCTATACAGCAGTACATTCCACAATTTTCTTTGGGTTTGTCCTTTTGCTTTACATTATTTTTTCTTTTTCTTGTTAAAGGGACCGTTTTTCTTTTGTTTCTCTACATCATAAAGTATCTCTAAAGTATCATAGAAATCCAGAGTGATTACACACCATTTAACTGGTTAGGTTTTTTTTTTATTAATAAGCTTGGCTGACTAAGACTGATCTGCTAATTATACCAGAGTAGAAGAATTAGTGATGCTTGACGGGAAGAGTCAGGCTGCATGTCCTGAAAAAGAGTTTGTGTTGATAATGACATTTCCTTGCACAGCTCTACTTTAAAGTCAAATCAATTTAAGGATGTAGAGTCTTGGAAAATGTTTTACACTCTTCAATTTATTTCATAATTAGTCACAGAACAACAAGACATTTGAAAATATTTTAATAGGATCGTATGTGATGCATCATGATAAGATGCATATTTATCATGTGAGCATGAGGAAATGTTCTTTACTGCCTCTGTTATTATGAACAGCTGTGTGTACACTTTGTGATCACAGGTCGGGTCGCACTATTATTTACTGGTCCGTGTGATCCTGGTTGGGTTTTAAATGGGGATAATTTCGGGTAACGGGTCCGGGCGGATACAGTTTTGAATATTCAGACCCATGCAGGACTCTGGAACTAACGATACCGAAGAATGGAGTTTGAATGAAGCAGAACGATGAAAAGTGGTTCCTATGTCCTCCAGCAGTCTAAGCCTATAGCAGTATAACTATAGAGATAACTCAGGACAACCCGAGCCACTCTAACTGTAAGCTTGATCAAAAAAGGAAAGTTCTAAGCCTACCCTTAAAAGTAGACAGGGTGTCTGCCTCACTTACTAAAACTGGTAGTTGGTTCCAAAGGAGAGGAGCCTGATAACTAAAAGATCTGCCTCCCATTCTACTTTTTGAAACTCTAGGAACCACTAGTAAACCTGATGATTGAGAGGGAAGTGCTCTGTTGCGGATATATGGAACAATTACATTACTGATAAACGATGGGGCTTTGATATTTAAGGCTTTGTATGTGAGAAGGAGGATTATAATTTCTATTTTGGATTTAACAGGAAGCCAATGAAGGTAAGATAAAATAGGAGAAACAAGATCCCTTTTTAATTCTTTTTTAAAATTTCATCAGAACTTTGGCTGCAGCTTTTTAGGTCGGATGAAGGCTTTAAACTACAGTTTGTGGACTTCTTGACAGTAAAGAATTACAATAGTCCGGCCTTGAAGTAACAAATGTATGGACTAGTTTCTTAGCATCACCCCTGGACAGGATATTTCTAATTTTTGCAATATTCCAGAAATGAATAAAAGCAATTCTAGAACTCTCTCTTTAATATTGGATTTAAATGACCGGTCCTGAAACCTAACCCTTAGATTTTTTTAGTTTATTATATGAGATTAATTTAACCCTGTAATGCTAAATGTATCATATTTGATACATACGGTTTCTAAAATGTTTTGCGTCTGAAACCTTTTGCATAATTTAATGGTAAAAACTTTGCTCAAAATCCTATTGTACACAATCAGATATCCCTGATAACAGAGGGCAGAAGACTACACAAAAAATTATCTGGATTTATCGCATAGTAATAAATTATTATTATCAAAAATGTATTTTTTGTTTTTTCTTTTTACATATTTTGTTAAAAGGCCAAATAAGGACTTCAAACAAAAAAAAAAGTAATTTTCTGCTTTGTTTTATTCTTGGATTGGGCTTTAAAGGGTTAATCCCATCCAAATGAAGTGACTAATCAGCTTCTCTTTCAGTGATTCTGGTACAAATAATATCATTTCTGTTTTATCTGCATTCAGAAGCAGAAAGTTAGAGTCATCCAGTTTTTTGTCCTCAAGACATAAAACTCCGTAATCTATGTAATGAGTTAGTTTAATCAGGATTTATAACCCAAATATAGATACTGTAGGTACCATCAGCATAACAGTGGGAAGTGAATCCGATACTGTGTAACAATTCTACCAATTGGGAGCATATATATATGATAAAGAAATCTGCCCTAGTACTGATCCCTGTGGTACTCCACAGGTAGTCCAAAAGCATCAGGAAGATTTATCATTAACATTAAAATTATGCAGGTAAGGCAAGTTTATTGGGATCTGCCATAGAAAACTAAGAAGCCATGACATTCTATGCTCCATGAGAACTAAGAATTGGTAATGGCTCATTTTACTGATGGGTATGACCCTATCATTGAGACACAGCCATGCCAGACTTTCAAAATAAAGCTTACTACACTTTAAGTAGTTACTTTGGCCTTGTGATGCTCGTTATAGGCTGCAGTGTGAGTTAAGTATTGAAAGCAGGTTCCAGACTAACTAACAGTGCATCCATACCTTGCTTTCAAAATACATCACCTCACATACCCGACAGAATAAAAGCCTTCCTTAGCAGATCACTGCACAATATGTCTAAGTACTTTGTTTGGAACTAAACCAGTTTAGAACAAGGATTACCATTTTCATGCTTTGGTTTTTGTTCTGCTTTAGTTTCGGACTAATGGTCTCTATGCACAACTCCACTACTTATTGAACTTAAGGGGGCTCTTTTGTTTCCTTTCTTTTTCTACTGGATGAACTGATGAATCCAGGTTGCCTGACCTCAGTAACCATGACCAGACACACCTGGATTCAGCAGTTCACCCAGTAATGAAAAGCAGGAAACAAAGAAGGAAGTAGTGGAGTTGGGCATAGATCCCATGGGGGGTGTTTTATTTCAGCGGCTGCATCCTTCAAGGACCCGGTCTACCTGGACTGGATCCTCTGAGGTCAGTGAACTTAAGGAGACCGGAAGAGTTCGGCTATGGATTCAAACAGGTCCAGGCTTCTCCGGCTTTCACCGCCTGTACCCTCTGTCCCCGAGGAACTGTGACATTTGACACATAAAAGCAGACAAAGAATGGATACCGAATTTCTAACTACTGTTCTGTGTGCTAATTACATTTCTGAGGAGCTTCAGCAGCGGCACCATCGTCGCACAGCATAGTAATGGAATCTGTGCTTAAATGCAGCCAAACCCCTTTGCACAGGGACAGATAAAACCTTTCAATAAACCAAACATCACCTGCCACACGTCTGACTCAATAACCATTCAAAATAACTTTTTTAATTAATTTCAGATGGAAATGTTCACATACTTGTATTATATTAAACAGCACTTACAATACGCACTGCCTTTCTGCGGCATTTCCCTTTTTCCTCTTAGCACGGAGCAGCTGGCTTGCTTGGACTTTCAATGAATCACGGGTTACCCAGGGCTACATATGAAAGACCGGATCCGTCCTTCAACACGGGCAAAAAAGAAAGCTGCATTTGTCAGCCGCATATCTAGGGCTGAGTCAGAACGTATACCCTAAACCAGGCAACCCCAAACTCGATCCTCAAGGCCCCCTGTCCTGCAGGTTTTAGAGGTTTCTTTGCTCCAGCACAGCTGATTTTAATTGAAAGCTGATTAACAGGCTTTTGGTCTACTGCAATCATTATAACCAGCTGTGCTGAAGTAGAGAAATCTCTAAAACCTGCAGGACAGGGGGCCTTGAGGACCGAGTTTGGGGATGCCTGCCCTAATCCCTTCAAACACCTGGCCTAAATAGAGCAGGGACCATATAGTGGACTTTATAGTGAATTCAGTTAACTGACCATTCAAACGATCGGACGCAGCCGAGGAGTCTTCCAATCCGGCGTAATCAGCCAATGAATCTGGCCTTCGGAGGATACAGCCACTGAATTCGAACTCAGCACATACCACTCACCACTCCATGGTGCATTTTTTTTATTCACTTCTCAGCCATCAGTTAGCACCATAACTAGCTCCAGCTGCTGCCACTAATCAGCCCCAAGTCTTTCCAACTGTTGCACACCCTTTATATACCTGCCTCACTTTCCACTGGCTCCCGGAATGTAATTAAACTAATTAGTCTGCTTATCTGGGGTCCCAGAAATGTTTTACTCTACCTTTTCCTGCAAGTCAGTCTTATTGGAAACACAGCAGCTTCTGGCTACAAACGTCTGCGCAGCTGCAAGCCATCTGACCCGTTAGTTTTCATTGGCAAAACTGAGTTTTTTGGAGCATTGAATTATTTTGAGGCCGTAGTGGCAGTACAGATTGTTGCGCCAAATTAGAGCCTGAAAATGTCATGCATCTTATCTGTATAAAATAAACATATGTATTTGATATACATATGTGTTTTTTGTACCTCATTAAATAATTTGACTAATTTACCTATGAAACAATATCTTATAAACAACATGAACCTTTTTGGTTTGTCATTCGTACTATGAGTGCTTGGTGTAATAAAGAGGGTGATTGTGTTCCTCTGGTTTTTTTATTCAAGCAAAGTCGTTTTTGTACAGTAAAAGGGCTCTAACTTTTTTGTTTGTTTTGTTTTTTGTAGACAGTTTCTTCAGCTTTGGAAAATACACTTTCATAGGAAACAGATGAGGATGCTGTGATACGGTGCTTATTGGCTAGGTGGTATAGATTTGGATAGAGAGTTTTATGCTCTACCCAACTATTTCAGCGGATCCTCTGCTCGGTCCAGAGGATGAGCAGAGAAGTATTGCTACACCTCCTCTATAGCATCTGTAAAACCAAGATAACAACCTGTTATTACATTATTCATCTTACCTAATATGCGTAGATTGCTTGATGGTTTATGTCCCTGTTATACATGTATTAGGTAAGATGAATAATGTAATAACAGGTTGTCACCTTATTACATTAGGTTAATGTAGATAAGGTTGTCACCTTATCTACATTAATCACATTACCTAACATGAGTAGAACAGGAACATGAACCATTGCTTGAGCCATAATAAATGAAGTATGTAGCGCCAAATGTTCAAATCTCTGCCTCTCACCTCGAAGCACTCAGCTGAGTCCACCTGAATGAAGCAGTGAAGGGGTTGAAACATCATCGGTGATGTCACGTGACGCAAACTCCAGCCCACTGCTTCACCATAACAACCCTGTCGATTTTGAAGCATGCATCGAAGCATCAGTGTTGGAGTTTGGAGGTAACCTTACCTGTTGCACAGCTGCAAGGTACGTCTGTCCTTCTGGATAGCTCTAAGCCATGTCCGACCTTCTGGACAGGTCTAAACCATTTCTGAACTTCTTCAAGCTACGTCTGACCTTCTGGACAGCTCTAAGGCACATCTGAATCTCTGGACAGCTCCAATCCATGTCTGCCTTTCTGAACCGCTCCATGTTGCATCTTACCATCACTGCAGGTTCTAGCTGTGGCTAATCCTCTCTCCAAACTGAAGTCTAGCCTGGTGTTGTCAGCTACTCCAGATCAAGTCTCTGCATTAATTGTCGGACACAATCCCACTGATCTCCAGGACCTGCCAGCCTGCACATTGTCTGCAACAACCTTGCCCTTGTCAATAAAACCTTAAAAAGTCATGACATAAACAGGAAAACCTTCTTGGCATTTCTTCGGCTTGGACTTCACCAGAAACCACACCTTAAATTGCAATCAAAATAGGGATCAGGGGAGCCAGGAAGCTCACAATTTACATGGGCCTAATGTGTCATCATGCTTTCACATAGCCAATTAACTTTTCATAGCCAAAACTGGAGTTTTTTGGTCTATATAAGTAATGCATTAGTTGTATAAATATATATATATATATATATATATATATATATATATATATATATATATATATATATACACTATATTGCCAAAAGTATTTGCTCACCTGCCTTGACTCACATATGAGCTTAAGTGACATCCCGTTCCTAATCCATAGGGTTCAATATGACGTCGGCCCACCCTTTGCAGCTAGAACAGCTTCAACTCTTCTGGGAAGGCTGTCCACAAGGTTTAGGAGTGTGTTTATGGGAATTTTTGACCATTCTTCCAGAAGCGCATTTGTGAGGTCGCACACTGATGTTGGACGAGAAGGCCTGGCTCTCAGTCTCCGCTCTAATTCATCCCAAAGGTGTTCTATCGGGTTGAGGTCAGGACTCTGTGCAGGCCAGTCAAGTTCATCCACACCAGACTCTGTCATCCATGTCTTTATGGACCTTGCTTTGTGCACTGGTGCACAGTCATGTTGGAAGAGGAAGGGGCCAGCTCCAAACTGTTCCCACAAAGTTGGGAGCATGGAATTGTCCAAAATGTCTTGGTATGCTGAAGCATTCAGAGTTCCTTTCACTGGAACTAAGGGGCCAAGCCCAGCTCCTGAAAAACAACCCCACACCATAATCCCCCCTCCACCAAACTTTACACTTGGCACAATGCAGTCAGACAAGTACCGTTCTCCTGGCAACCGCCAAACCCAGACCCGTCCATCAGATTGCCAGATGGAGAAGCGCGATTCGTCACTCCAGAGAACGCGTCTCCACTGCTCTAGAGTCCAGTGGCGGCGTGCTTTACACCACCGCATCCGACGCTTTGCATTGCACTTGGTGATGTATGGCTTGGATGCAGCTGCTCGACCATGGAAACCCATTCCATGAAGCTCTCTGCGCACTGTTCTTGAGCTAATCTGAAGGCCACATGAAGTTTGGAGGTCTGTAGTGATTGACTCTGCAGAAAGTTGGCGACCTCTTCGCACTATGCGCGTCAGCATCCGCTGACCCCCGCTCCGTCAGTTTACGTGGCCTACCTCTTCGTGGCTGAGTTGCTGTCGTTCCCAAACACTTCCATTTTCTTATAATACAGCTGACAGTTGACTGTGGAATATTTAGGAGCGAGGAAATTTCACGACTGGATTTGTTGCACAGGTGGCATCCTATCACAGTTCCACGCTGGAATTCACTGAGCTCCTGAGAGCGACCCATTCTTTCACAAATGTTTGTAAAAACAGTCTGCATGCCTAGGTGCTTGAATTTATACACCTGTGGCCATGGAAGTGATTGGAACACCTGATTCCAATAATTTGGATGGGTGAGCAAATACTTTTGGCAATATAGTGTATATATATAAAATTACAGAATTGTTTAATACTACAAGCTAAAGGAGATGAAAGCAAACACATATATTTACATGTTAATGATTTTTGACAGGAGATATATGATAAGCAGAATGACATAAAAAAAACCTTTTTAGCAAAACATTACTCATTTAGTCGTTTTTATAAAACCGAAGCAAGCAAATACTAACTTTTAAATTAAGGCAAGCATAGCCTACCCACAGAATTTTCAACTGACTTTAAAAAGAAAATGCTGCTCCTACTTAAATTAACTGCTTCAATTGCTAACAAATTATTGAATTAGGTTGATCAAACTAAATAGTTTAAGTTAATGAGTTCAAAACTAGATAGATAGATAGATAGATAGATAGATAGATAGATAGATAGATAGATAGATAGATAGATAGATAGATAGATAGATAGATAGATAGATAGATAGATAGATAGATAGATAGATAGATATTAACCTGCCAGATAGCAAAATGATTTGGAGTAAAGCATTTTCATGGGTAAGATTATTCCAGCTAAAGCACAGAGAGAAATATAGATAAGAAATATTTGTACAATCAATGTGTACAGGTGGCATTCATCCATTTTGACAGAGCTGAGCAGTTTTACAAAGAACAATTTAAATTGGTTAAGAAACAGATTTAGAGCTGTGCTGCGATGTGGCTCTATGCATGGAGGATGACTATAAAAACCCAACTAACTATTCAGATAAATTAAAGAAATGAAAACAGTATATATAATTTCCTTCCTGTTCTGTCATTAAAAGGGTTTATGATTTTGACAGATAAATAGGAACATTTCAGGGGACTGATCTTTGTCTCCTGGGCTTTAAAAAAACAACAAGAAGAGGACTGCTGAGAGGGAGGAAAACACTTTGCAGATGCTTGTTATTTTTTATTAAAAGTTAAAGAAAGAACAGTTATAATACTATGATAAAATATTGGACTATAACACACAAAGCATTTCAGTTAAACTATTAGCAGTAGACTAGTAATAGTTTCTCCAAATGATCTCATCCCAAGGTTGACAGATTTACTTTGACCCCTTAAAGCGTCAGTAGGGGTGACGTCCCTTCACCTCCCCCTCAAACCTCACAGACATCATCATTATTGGCTCCAACAGGCCATCAGAAACGGATCAATTAGGGTTGTTTCCCCCCATTTTCTTCAGACGGATCATCATCCGCCCACCTCGGCTCTGATTTGACGAATTTCTTTTGTCACGATAAACCTCATCTCGCCTGCCTATATAAGAAAGGGAAAGTTTTCTAAGATTCAAGCAAAAACAAAGTGTCCAGAGACTAAAAGCAGACAAGAAGAAGCATCGTTTTCCTGTGCGTAAAACTTAATAAAAGTGCCAAAAGATGGAAAAGTCGGTGAGGTTCGCCGTGGTGTGCGTCGGAGTGTCTCTGCTCATCTCATGCCAGCCGGTCCAAGCCTGGTACAAGCAGGTGACCGGACCCAGCTACTACTCTGTGGGCCGCGCCTCCGGGCTCCTGTCCGGCATCAGGAGGTCTCCCTATGTCCGGAGAGCAGAGACCGAGGACACGGTGATGGACAGCGGGGAGGCGGCGGGGGGCAACGCGATCCAAGACACCAACAGGCAGATCTCCGTCCTGAAGAACATGGTAGGCGCACATTTGTTTTCAGTCACGAAAGAGACGCCTGTTGCATTAAAATCAGACATCATTTTGATGCAAAGGGTTGAATTCCGGTGTTAAAGAAAAAACCAGTGACCCGTGATATGTGACAAGCGCTTTTTGTGATTGAGTCTCTACTAACCATAACTTCACAGGACTCATACTTAAAGCAAATGTGAGGAAATTAACACGTAAACCTAAAGAAGTTTATTGAGAAACACATAGATCTCACTATATGAAGGATCACAGTGTTTTTGTTTTGTGCGCAAATACGCACAGCTTCGCTTGTTACAGTTTGCACAGAAAAATGCTGCTCTGGTGGTTAGAAATAAGTATTTGGATTGAAAAAATTAAAACAAATAAACATTTATTCTCACAGATTTTTTTTTTTTTACAAAATCCCTTAATTTTCAAGCGTTTCATTTTAGTTTTCGCTTCTCTCTATCCTGCAGGCCATCTGTCTGAAGGACATCTCTCCAAACCTGAAGAGCTGCGAGCTGCTGCAGGATGGGACTGGCACCTTCCAGTGCAAGGCAGATGTCTTCCTCACTCTGGACTCCTTGGACTGCCTGTCTGCATGAGTCCCTGTAAATCCTCCTCATCACCCTCTTAAAAAAAACATTAAAAAAGATATATAGAGAAAAGCAGATAGAGATCAAAACAGAGATGATGGATAGACAGAGATGGGTTTTGATAACAGAGTGTGTGGCTGAATATTCTCTCTTTTATTTTAAAGTGAAAAAAAAAATTTTTCAATTTTGCTTTGGATGTGTAGAAGAAAAAAAATATGTAAACAAGGAAAAAAATAAAGCCAAAAGTTAGTCAAAGCCATTTCATCCCTTGTATACACCAAAAATGTTCAGAAATGTCCCCAAGTTTCTCTGCAGTTTTCAAGAATTCCTGTAAATGACTTTTATTTATTTATCTATTAAAATGAACAAATAATATTAACCTGTTGTTTGAATTTTATTTGTTTCTTTAACTCTCATCCAAGACAAGAGAAAAAAAAAATCTTAAGAGCGTCACATTTATTTTGTTCGGAATTTCAAAATAACAAAAACATACAAAGATGAGGTTCACAGAAAGGAATATTCTCTTGTTAAAATACACACATCACTACTTCATCATCATGTAAGGCACTTGAGGGTGTTTTGTTTTTTTTCCTCTGCGGGTTCCCTATCAGACTGCAACATCCATCATCATATCTGACTGAAGTCAGGGTGTGTTGGCACTATCCGTTGCTCGGGGGAACCCTTCAAAAACAAACTCCGGAAAAGATAATGCCACAAATCACACATGCAGGAGGCAGCGTTTTGCATGACAACCCCGAGTTTATGAGTGTATGTGTCAGATCCAGAGACAATAACCCTCGCCGATAGAAAGAAAGGAAATTAAATCCAAGTCAGACGCCTCAGGGATGTTTTTAATGTACATGTTTTGCTTCTAATAAGCTTTGAAGCATCATCATTGGCTAATATTAGTCAGTGGGACAGTTAATGGCACAGATTAAGATGCCTGCTGCGTCTGGGGTCTCGGATGAACACAAACCGGTGAGCTGTAATACAGCGATGAGCGCCTCATTAGGAGGATGTGACGCACAGTGTGGGGACATGGTGATGGATGAGGGGAAAAACACATGATGGTATGCATGGCTGAATCCTGCAAGTTAAGGGGACATACAGTAAAACCGCCTCGCTGTTGAGCTTTCTGCACAAAACAAAACAAGGGGAAAGGCCCATGTGTTTAGCAAGCTTTTCCAAGATGCTTAGCGCTTGGTTTTGTGTAATAGTCAGTTAAATATTAATAAACAGCAAAGTCTTTGTTTTGGTTAACTTTTTTTTAATGCTACTTCACTGGGGGAGGTTTCAGCATCCAGAGTTCCACAGCACCTCTCCCAGCTACAGGAGGGACACAGCCTCCAAATTCTCCTTAATGATCGTGTCCATAACCACCTGAAAGACCACCTGGATGTTGGAGGTGTCGGTTGCCGTGGTGAAATGGTGGTAGATGAGCTTCTTAGGTATTTTGTTGAGCGAGACGAAAGTGGCGACAATAAATCCTGCAGCTGAATCTACATCGCAGTCAGCACCTGGGGGATAAAACAAAAGTTTGCTTTTCTATTACTGATAGAAAGATGGTTTATCCTACTAATTAAGGCCTCTGGTTCAGGCAGAGATGTGAGACATAAAATCTGATCCTCTAGGGATGGATCGGCTTTAAGGGTTTAACAACCACTGCATGAAACAAAAATGAACTATGACCCCCTGCAGAGAAATGGATTGGTTAATTAAATGGCTGACTGGAATGGCTGGCAGCTATGTTTACACTAAGGATCTTACTGTTGTGAAACTTTGGGTTTTACTTACAGCTCTGATCCAGAGAAAGTATAAAAGTTTAACAGGCTACAGTGTTTTAAATGCAGGCATCTCTGCTGTACAAACAGGCAACCAGTGACCTTATTTATTTTAGTCTCTGCTTATTTTGATGGGGCAGCAAATGCTGGCAGTCTTTTAACAACATTTCATACTATATTGGGCTATTTTTATTTTACCTAATCTCGCTAATTACTGTTTTCGTACAGATTTTCCATTTAAAAAATACATTGTTTTCCAGACCGGCATAAAGGGGGTTTACAGTTATATTTCAATGTTGCGAACATTTGAAATGTTGTGAATATTTGAATCCAAAGAATTTATCTAGGTAGTTGCTAAAAAAATTTCCACAGCACTTAGAAACTTAGATGTGCTCTCATTCAAATCTATAATTCAGAGGGCCTGATCTTTAAAATGTTTACTTACATGTGCTTGAACTAGTACTATCTTATAAAACGTGCTAACATTTCTGCACAATCAGAGCATAAGGCACAAAATGGGTAAAACTAGCAATTCACCAGGTAGTGCATACATGCCTTTTTTTGCTTGTATCTTCAACAATTTGTAAATAAAACTTTAATTACCAAACTGCAAACATTAATGGATGAGGATATCCAAATGTAAACATTTACCAGGTGCAAAGGGATTTTCCTAATCTAAAACTCCACTGTCTCTGCAGTTTATGTTTTAGCATCAGGTACAAATGCAAAGCAAAGATTTCTTTGGTCATTGTGACCACAAAGGATGCATCAATACATGGAGAGAGATTCTGTGCGCATTTACACATCTGGAGAGTAAGAAATTAACCTAGCATGAGCAAGATTGATGCCTGTAGTTCAATTTGAATTCTACATTTCAGTATTATTCTGGAAAGGCTCCTGTGTAAAGTGTTCACAAAAGTGAGGGACATTCAGCACAATTATTCAAGTGGATTGGGTAAACCTTCATGTGGCACCTTCCTACTATGTCTAGCTTTTAGCCAATCACAGCAGCAGTGGCAGCTGTGACATGTGCTTGATTTGTTTTAAAACTAGCAGAGCTAAATGATAAATCAAACTCTTACCAAATCCAGTAGGCACAATCATGTCCTTATGCTTGTTATGCAAAAGTAAATAGAGGGTATTCCAGATAAAACTGGCGCAGCCATGCTTGTTACTACAAGCCCCCCCAAAATTGCCCCATTTACGCTACCCCTCTGAAACCGATCTGTGCCAAGTACAGATGTCTCAACCATGAGTTGTTGCTCTTTCTCTGCATTCCTCTTTTGCTTTTTATGTGACTGTAGATCAGTGTTTTTCGATCCTGGTCCTCAAGGCACCCTCCTCTGCATGTTTTGGATGTTTCTGAGGTTCAGTAAACCTGATTCAGATGATTGCAGTTCAGCAAAGCCTGATAATCTGCTATCAATTGATAACAGGTGTGTGAAAGCTGGGAAACATCTAAAACATGCAGGGCAGGGTGCCTTGAGGACCAGGATTGAAAAACACTGCTGTAGATAATGTCTTAGTACCATAGATTCTTTCCGCTTCTAGACCTTTTCCTGTGCACTAAAGTCAACTTTTGTCACTTTAAGGGTAGAACAAACCTGAGAAAGTAAAGTGACTCTAATTCGCTGCTTTTTAGGAAATCCCACGTCAAATGTTTTCTTCTTCGCTTCATTTAGTTAAGTTAGCAAAGCATCTTCAGGCTACTACCTTGTTTTGTAGTGTTTCGGGTCAATCAAGTATTGAGAGGAGTTGCTGGAGGTAATTCCAGGTATTTAGGCACTCTGCTGTAAATCTGACTGTGACTCTTTGGGGAAGGGTGGGGGGTCAATCTACAAAGACAACTTTTCCCATGTGCAACGATATCATTTATTTAATTTTCATTATTTTTATCATTTAATTCTTTACTTTTGTTTGAAGCACCTTGAAGCTAACTATGTGGAGAGCGCTTTAAATATCATTAAGTTAATATTAGCATTATTATATTAAATTATTTTTTATCAATATCACCTCTGATAGCTTAGAAGCTCATCTTTCACACTGAGCCTGGTTCTGCTGGAGGTTTCTTCCTGCTGTTAAAAGGGAGTTTTTCCTCTCCACTGTCACTACAATCATGCTTGATTGCCTTCGGGTCAATGAGTCGATGCAATCAACTGGTTTTCCTTAGATAGAAAACTTGAAATCAATTTGACCGGATGATCTGGTGAACTGTAAAGTATCTTGAGATAACGTGTGTTGTGAATTGACGCTATATAGATAGACTGAAGTGAACTAAATTGAATAAAGGCCACTCTCAAACTTCCAGAAGAAAACGCAATCAGGTAATTTTAATTGGGCAGAACAAATTGCTTTGCATATCCTATTATTTATTATGTAGGGGAGTGGCGGCCTAGTGGTTAGGGGATAAGGCTTTGAATTCTGAGATTGGGAGTTCGATCCCCCACTCCCCCAGACTGCCACTCTGGCTCCCTGAGCAAGACCCTTAACCCCACACTGCTCCCTGGGCGCCACACAATGGCAGCCCACTGCTCCCCAAGGCAATGGGTTAAATGCAGATATAAATTTCTCCAATGTGAGATCAATAATGTTCAATTTATTTATTTGCGCCATCTTTGTGGCATTATGCATTAAAGGTGATAAATGTAACTCCTCCAGACCAGGAAAATGTGCATCTGCGCTCACCTGCTTCACCTGTACTGTTTGCTAGTTCAGAAGAAAAGCGGTAACCTCCATTAACTTTCTGAGCCTTTTAGAAACCTTTTCTAAGAGCTGTCATGGAGTTACTAGGATCTGGCAATGTCTTAGCTCCATCTCATGTGACTTTAATCCACTATTCCTATTGCTGCATTATCCTTTCAACTAATGCTGACATTATAACCAGAAGTAAATATCTAGATATCTTGAACCTGTCAAAATGTATAAAATAAATATTTATTTTACTTTTACTCTGCACCATTCTATACATTGTATGTATCATTTTTTTATGTATAATTTGATGGAAAATCTGTAGATTTAGTTTAAAACAAATTTTGAATCTACAACAAAAAACACCTATATAATTTGCATGGTATCTAAACTAAACAGTTTGAAAATGTCAGCCTTAAAGCCTTTTTTTAATAAATGAATATCCTTTTTTATCTTTAAGATGAAAAAGAAGGTATGATGTTTGAAAAGTCAAACTTTTTCCCCCAATTTTTTTTTCAATTCAAAAAAAGATCAAGATTTCTGGACTCTTCAAGACTCCGTAACAAACCTGTAATTGCCAATAAAAAAGCCTCTTTAGAGAATGTAATTTTCTCGTTTTAGTAAGGCTCTAAAAGCAATGATTTGGTTAATATATCCCTCTATGTGATGCTTAGAAATACAAACACAAAAACAATTCATTCCTTGCAGCTGCAAACCTGAGCAAGAACCTGGACTCATCATCATGTCTGCGCTCGGAGTCAAACAGACGCTTGCTCTGCTGGCTGACCCCAATCCAAGCCGTGTTAGCATTTTTATTGGCATTTGCATGAGAGCAGAGAGGACACGGCCCCCGTTGATCCCGCTGAGATACGGGAGATGAAACATTGAGCAGATTTAAAAACCTCCAGAAATAACAGCATGTGGGACACTAAGAGCTTATTATTGTCTCTGTGTTTAATAAGCTCCCATACCTGCTATGGGGTAATACATCTCTGTAAAGTACTCCATCTTGAAGGATTGACAAACGTTAGTAGATATCTACAACCTACTGCGGTCGAATTAAAATAATTTCTTTTAAGGTTTATTGCATTAAATATAAGCAGGGAAAGCAGATAAATGCATAGTTGAACATGGAGTCCATTAGTACCATAAGAAACATAATCAGGTGGGTAATGGTCAAATGCTAGATGAGTAGCTGATCAGTCTTTATGATGGAAATCTTAAAAGGTTTACTTAAAATTCAAAACCCTGTTTAGAAATTGATGATGAAAAAGTCTGTGCTATAGGATCAGTGCTTAGGTTGCAGCTGGAAGGAAGGATCTGAATACTTACAAATTATATGTGCAAATCGTAACTTAAGTAATCAATAAACCTTATCCTTGATATTATACATTCTATAATCTGTTTGGTTACATTGAGCTGCATTTCCTAATTAAAAATATCAAATTAACAGTTTATTGTATTTTTTTGATTCTATGTAACACTTAACACACAATAGAAATATGTACTTTCTTTAAAATTATGTAAGTCTAAAGCTTTGCTATTAACAATAAGCAGATGGACTGCCTGAGCTGATTGTTTTTAAAATCTGTAAACCTGATTATGTTGGATTTAAACAGCCAGAGATGTTTATAAACTCATGCTTTGATTCATTGTCATACAAATGTGGTTCTATTGATCTGAAAGCTGTATATCCATAGCTCTTTGTTTGGGTTGGAAGAATTTCATTCTATATTAACAAGAATTTAAAAAAAAAATGTTATAAAGAGAAAATTTAAGTTGGATTACCTCTTGTCAGCACAGGGTGAAAATTATATTCAATCCAATGTTGGTTAGAGAGCTGCAATTTCACCAAATTGTTATTCATATCAATAATGAGGTTCTGGCATGATTAAATTGGATCTTTGACCTCTCTGGTTGACCCTACAATTTCTGTGAATGGAGGAAGGCACCCTCACTGGTTTGTGCATTGCAACAGTAACCCCTGTGATGCTGCCACCCCCATACTCCAGTCCTGATACATTGTTCTTCGGTTTAAAAAGCATCCTCTCATCTTGTCCAAACATTTTTTTATGTTATTAGAACTAGAGAGCACATTTGTTGACTGTTGAGATATATAGTTTTTCTTCTCCTAAGTAATTAGTCCTACACATTAAAGAGACATTATGTAAGGTTTAACTGATAAATATTTTTAAAATAGTCTTTTATTAGACCCTTTATGACAAAAAAATTGTTTGATGAGCAGACTGACACCTCAGTAGTTTATTGCCGATGCATGTATAAGCCTGTAGCCTATTTTCCATAATTTACTTCGGGTCAGAAGTTCCTGCACTGTTCGTTGGATGTGACGTCAAATGTGTCCATGTTAAATGGACCAAGCAAAACAACCTGTCTGAACAGCAGAGATCGGACCTAGCAAACAATCGAAGCGCTATATCAAGATGAACTTTGTGGATACTCAGAACAACCAGCATCCAGCTCAACTGAGACATCGATGACAACTAAGTTAAAAAAAAAAACAAACGGGCATGAGAGTGCTGCACTTCTGTGTTTGGCCACAGGTGGCATCATTTCAAAGGCCTTTAATGTCTTTTTAAAGTATCTACATATTTGAGTTGAACTTGAATGTTTTCATTTTGGAACAAAGGTTTCTCTTTTGGTCCACCTTAGCACAGATTGATGTAAAACACATAGAAACTTCCCTTTCTGCTGTCCCAGTTCTTGTTCTACCTGAGCCTTTGTGGTTCTTTGGGTGCTCCTTAACCTTTCAGCTGAGGGTAATATGATGAAACTTGAACCCAGCTAGACTTTTCAACAGGACAATAATTCAAAGCAAATAAAAACTGGTTTGAAACATCACATAGGGCTTTCTGAATCTGCTGACCCAAGTCTTCTCTAAACTTGTGTATGATAGTTAAAAGTTTGGTTTGTAGTATAAAAACCATCATTTGAAATTAACGCCAAATTTCCCAAAATAAGAGAGCTCAGACATCCAGCCAGAGGGTTGCTGTCAATACAGAAATGTACTTTGAGGTACAACCTGCTTGGAGGCATTTAACCAAATATAATTGAGGTCTGTCTTTTTTTGTTTTTTTTTTATCAAATGTTCTGTTCCATCTTCTGCAACTTTTCTACATTTCTACTTTTTACATTTCTACTCTGGTCCTGCAGGTTCTGTAACAGCATTTTCCCCTCTGATAAGAACTGTAGAAACTCTAATCAAGTAAAAAATCGAGTCTCTGCATCACACTGATAACATCATACTTTGAAGATTTAATATGTAAATCTTCAAAATAGAACTCAACTCAGTGTTTCTACTCATCGCACCATATATATTTATTTATTTTTCATACTGCTCTGAACCTTCCACATCAATGCCTTTTGTGCCATGTCTTTCCTACACAGTTTACATTTTGATCACTGCTGCACTTTATAAAAGGAAATGTTCTATTTCACTGCTAAGTTGCTGCTCATGAACTGTTGGAAAGCTGTATGTAACGAAATTTCGCGTTCCGAAACACGAAATTTTGTTTCATTAAAGATAGACATAAAGTTTGTCTAAGTCTTAGTTAAAATGAGCAAAAAGTAAATGTGTATAATCAAATTGTAAAAAAAGCATAAGTGACATTGTAGGGGCTAAGCCGAGACTTAAAGCCACTGGAATGTTTTTAAAACTGGAATCTTATGGTTGACGCGCTTTGCCCGGGTTAGATGGTGTGAACAGGAAATGTCCAGACGCTGTTCTTGCTGTTTAAAGGCTGATTTATTCCCACTCTTGCTGCTTACAAAACAAAAAGAATGATACAACAGCCAGCTGTGAGTTGACAGCGTTTACCCGCCATGCGGTCAAACCGATTTGCCCTTTCCAGTGAAACAAACGCCCATACACACATCATTTCCCCTCTTTTATAGAGCTTATACATAATGGCTTCTACAGACATTTTAACTGTATATGCCAGTAGCTAACTCTGGAGCATACACAGTTTTTTCTGAAAGATGACTGCATCTTACTAATATTAGTTATTGTTTTGTTTTAATGCTTTTTTTGGCTTATTTTGTGAGTAAATAAAGCCTCTCTGTGTACATTTACCATAACAACACTATTACAGATATAGTTAAACAAGTCAAAGCAACAGAGGTGAGAAGATGTGGAACTCACAACAATTTTGCAAAATTAATGAAGGAAAGCCATAGATGTTTTAAAAGTGCATAAAAACGCTTAAATAATTATCCTTTCTAGTACTGATAGTAGTGACAAGAATACTGGTTGTCAAGTATTCAGTCTAAAAACAAACGATATCACAGACAGACAGACAGACAGGCAGACAGACAGACAGACAGATAGATAAATAGATTCAAATAAACAGTACATGGGAGCAGCTTTTCACACCTACTGTAATCCAGAAGAGCAATTTTATATATTTAATTTGCCATGAATCCAATTAAAATATGTATACTATGACTTATCTTTAAATATTTGTTAACTGACTGTTTCTGTTGACCATGCTGAGCTGTTGCATTATTGTGAAGTATTGCAGGATGGTACGTAATAAGTACCTGAGTCAATTCTTGCCATCTGACTTTCTGATAGTTATATAGTGCTGCTAACAGATGGTGCAAAATTGTTTATAACTGCTTATCATGCCCGCTACTGGAATTCGATTTAGGCCAAATATGGACTATTTAAAAACTATCAGGACGGGGGCTTGGTGTAGATAAACATATTTTATTATGATCAAATGTTTATTTGTATAGGTATATAATGTAACTATACCCCTTTAAGAGTACATTTAACATGATTCTCTAAGGTAAATGTAGAGTCTAATATAAGTAATGAAAATCTGACTTTTTCTGGCAAAAATTCTATTTAAAACCTTTAATGTGTATAATCAATGTTACTTCTCACCCAGGCCATAAAAGTTTATAACATTTGAAATGGTCATCCGATGTGCATGTGCTGACAGGCATACCTTTAAACTGTGGCAAATATAACCGCAGATGTCTTCTCGTGTGTAAAATCTTCTCTTGAAAAAGGTCTATCTTGTTCATGAATAAAATCTGTAAAAACAACAAACAATCAGTGGTGACTGAAAGTGCTGAAAACTCAACATATTCTGTCTTCCTAAAGATAATAAAAGAGAGAAAAAAAGTAACTATAAAAAAGATAATGACGATAATATCAGTTCATGTAAAAATGGCACATGAAGGAATTCATGTCATGAATTGGATCTGCTTCACTTCACTACCCTTTCCATAAATCTGTCTCCCTGCTTGTTTTCTCACCAAACTTCTGCTTAGATGCCAAAATGCTGTTCTGGTACTTCAGGCTTTGTACCCAACCAATTAAAACTGTGACTTTGTTCTACATTTTCCTCGCTTGTCTGATCACAAAGTCAAACAGGAGTACAAAAAGCCCTGGATAATAACAAGGGAGTGATAAGGTAGAGCATATTTTCAATAAACAGGATGCAGAGCAACACCAAGGTGTGTAATTACCACTGACCAGCCACAGTGACGAGTTAATTGAGGTGCAGGTTACAAATTATACTCCCACATAAAAAAACCTATCATTTAACCATTTTATTTAATGAGCCAGTTAGCCGTTGTAATGTGTGGTCCCACACACAATGCCTGCACATAAACACGTCATACACATGGGCATTTTAATTGCCCATTTGCCTCTAATGAAGCTTTAAATAAGTTTGTATGACTAAAAAAAAAGATAAAACAGAAACTTTGTTGGTGTTTTCTGCAGGAGATAAATGTGTAAAACTATTTGCCTGTGACCAAAGTAAACATGAATATGAGTTTTCTTTTGGTTTTATTTAAGAACGTAGTAAATATATGTATTTTTTAGGAGCTCAGTTTCCACACAGATTCAGCTGAACTATTAACAATTGTCTTTGTGGTGACAGGTTGCTTTATATTTAAAGCCCTAAGAAGGCTTTAAATATCACTTAAATCTATGAGGTCATCACAGGGAAGTTTTAATGTTATTACACAAGAAGGAGGGAGGGAGAGGTGAAGAGAAATCACCTTGTCAAATATTAACTTGAACACGACAACCTTTTCAATCACTGGTGGGGAAAAAGCATTTTTCAAATAGTAATTTCTTGTCCAGCCTCTTAATGAATAAATATGTTGTTTACATTTTACTTAAGGCAGACCCTCTTTAGATCATTTATATATATATTAAAGTGTTGCAGTTGTTAGGACTGTTCCCTTTCAGCAAACACATTTCTGGGTTTAGATCCTTCTCCATGCTCGAGTTTCCTGCAGATCAAAAACATCTCTAAATTTCTCTGTGGTATGTGTGCACTTTTTGTCTTTCTATTTCGTTGTGTGTTACACTGTGAATGTTGTCTCTCCCCCAATTCCATCTGAAGAAAGGCTCCATGATTGTTAAATAGGTACATATGCTTTCTGAAGTCTACCATTTTATTGTCTGTATTTGTTTTTTCCTTTCAAGTATAGAAGTAAAGTTAAAGGTATAGTGAAGGATTTTCGGGAATTTTTGAAAAGACCCGCCCTCTCAGCTTTAAAAAAATATGCACATGCACAACCCTGTTACCCACTCCGGAGGGGGAAGTCTTATTAAACGTGCAAGAGAGCATGCACAAGCCCATTTCTTCATGTTCACGCTCTGTTTAAAAGTTGCCATCTGCATCGATCATACAAGTTTACTTTCCAAAAGAAGATTGGCAATTTTTCCACTATGTCAGACTTGTCAACCGGTAAGTGAAAGTTGGGACGAGCATGTAGGACAACCTTACGTAAACATATCACCAGAATGACTGACAATTAGGAGGACCACACATTTTGATGATCCACCCGGAAATAGAACATCCTCCACTACACCTTTAATCTCAATGTCTTAAACATGTGAAGGTAATGTGCCTTCACAACAAACATCAAATCATCAACCTTCCACCTCCATGCTTGATAGATGCTACGTTCAGGCTGATCTTTGTGTTTGCTTCTATCATTATTCTGCCCTTTGTGGACTTTTTGGTTCTTTTTAAGCTTCTCTTTTAGTTTTCAGTTACACATTGGTTTCTTCTCCATTTTGTGTCATTCTAGTTGTTTTCCAGTTATATTTAAGTAGTGTTTTTTCGGGTTACTCTCTATTGACCCCTTCTGCCAGTCTCCTTTCCCCTAGTTCCCCTCTGGTTACTTCTATCCACACCTGCTCCCTATCAGCTGATGAGCCCATTATTTATTCCGTCTCCCATATATAGACTTCCTGTGCAGTTCCTCATTGCTGGATCCTCATCATTCTTTAGGTTTAACCCTCCCTCCTAGTTTTTTGGTGCTTGAGTTTTCATGTCTATCGGTTCTGGAGTATGAATTTTGTATTTTTATTTCTTTATTAAATTTAGCAATTAATCATCTCTGCCTCCTCTACTCTGCATTTGAATCTACAACAACATCCACCAACCAACCCTGACAGCCTCCGACGAGCCGTGCCATCAACTATAGCCGGACATCTCTCCTGTTTATTGTTTATTTATGACTGTTTATTGCTGTCAATAAAGTGACATTAGAAAATATCCAAAACATATATCTCATAAAGTTAAGATTTCACTTTTAAAAGCTAAGTAGGGTTGCAACATTCTTTTCAAAGGAAGTGATGCTTTGACCTTTAACCCTTAAAAAAAAGCAATTTGTCAGTGTGCATGCAGTGTAATAAATTCTTACATTTACCAAGCTGCAGTTACACAAAGCCCCTGTGTTTTATAAGCTCTTCAAGAAAGTCCAAACATACCTGCTTTGTGGGAAATTTGAAAAAAATCAACTTATTTCATTATGAAGGCAAACATGACTCCTCCACACCTATCCAGGTAACAGATAGCTCCCTGCCCCCTACAGTAGATCATCCGATCACAGAAATACTGCCAAGTTTATCACAACTGTTTGTATTCAAACATAAGGAATTACTTATTAACTGTTTTTACTTCTCTCTTTCAGTTTAAGAGCAATGAAGCAATTTTTTGTATTGTTTATTTTACTGGATTGTGTTTTGTGACTACTTGGACCCGTGTTCTGTCTAGAACTAAAAGTAGAGCACATCAGCCTGGTTATGAAGTCCTTACACTTAAAAATAAAAATGTGAAAAATATATCAGCTTTAACTTTATTGGCGCCTTTAATTTCCAGATAGTTCAATCTGATGAGTGCCACTAAGATATTCTCATTAGAGAGCAGTAGTGAAACTTCGATATTGTATTTTCATGGCCTAGTTTACCAGACAGGATGTTTACATATATCTGTTTTTAGGCTTATTTGCACAGATAAGTTTTTTTAGCTATGGAGGAACAGCTCTACAGTATATAAAATAAATACATAAATAAATAAATGCTCAATAAATAAATAAATAAGCATCCAATTAACTGCCCCCAAAAATACAATGAATAAATATGTAGGTAGAAATTTTATTATGTGGTGGGACAAAAATATATGTATCACTTAATTAGCTTCTTTATTTTTTCACCTTCTTTTGTAAACAGTTTCATTTGTTACTTGAATCGACTGTTTAATTGAGGTCTGAAGAAGTTTTCTCTAAGGGAGACCCTAAAGAAATAAGATGCTTTTTGTAGGGTTTTGTTTTCCCTAGAGATGTCCATTGAATGCAAACTCATAGCCATGTCTCGATGTGTAGAACACTACACAGTACCTTTAATTTGGTTCTAATAACAGCAGATTGTTTATTTTTTTGTCTACTAGTAAATACTTTAGTTTTTTTATTATGCTGATCATAAAGCAATGTTTACACCAGGGGCGTCTCTAGGTTTAAGAGACAAGGGTGGCTCAGCCCCCAGAAGATAATGCGCGCGCAAAGCGCGCGCCGAATTTTTTCAGTGCACCTGCTAAGGCGTTGTCTAAGACAAGCGTGTAACTTTGTGTTGAAAGTTGGTGGGGACAGCTCATAAGGAAAGGGAGCTACCTGCGCGACGCCTTTTTTTTTTTTGTTGGAAAGGATAAAGCCAAAAAAATGCGAATAACATTTATCAATTTAATGCTTATAGTTGAAAACATAACTGTTACAATATTCACTTATATATTTTGTGCAAAAAATATCACATAAATCTAAACAGACAGTACAAATCAAAGAAATCAAATAAATATATCAATTTTGTAGAACATTTATTGATGGTCAATTTTGGGTCACTTTTTAAAATTAATTTACTTTTAAACCAGGACTCGGACAAGATCTTATGGGACCTTAAGCAGAATATGATTAAGCAACTCCATCTTTCTGTCAAGAACATCCACTAGCAGGGTATCCAGGGGGGGATTTACCATTAGGCAATACTAGGCAATTGCCCAGGGCCCCAAGTTCTGGGGGCCCCATAAAACTCTGTTTCCATGTATGGTTAATACAACTAATCCTTATTTGTGCTCATTAATTATGTTTTTGATAAAAATCCTTTGGCTAAAATGCCATCAGAACGCTGATAAATAGAGAGGAAAAAGGGACAAGAAGAGAGGGACAAAACCTAGAACAAATAATGGATGTCTATTCTATTAACATTTCTCTATCTGTAGAATGGGTCTGTTTTATGGGTTTACTTCTCAGGGGGCCCCCTGCCTGTCTTTGCCTAGGGCCCCAAATTTCCTAAATCCGCCCCTGAGGGTATCAATACTGATTTGATAGAATCTGGGAGAGCGGACTATGTTCAACCATCCATTTTCTTTAACCTTATCCCTCAGTGGGATCAGGAGGTGCTGGTGCATATCTCAGGTCACCAGTCTGTCGCAGTATGTTCAACCAGCTTAAAAGTAATCGGTAATCAGATTTATTATTTGCACTTTTACTAAGTGAACTTTCTAACTCCCTTAAATCTGAAATTCCAATGGAAAAATTGTTTAAATCTTTTATCTTTGGACCCCCTGCAGAGTGACGTCACACCTGCAAGATCCTATCCTTACCTTCCTGCTAGATTGCAAAAAGCAGCTTGCTCATGAGTTGTCAACTTAACACGCTAAATCTTAAATGTACGTGTACATATAAAAGAAAAAGGGGCGCAGTGCTTGCTACTGAATGGCAACACTATCAAAGTCAGGAAAAAGTTTTAAGTAAAGCCGGGATTAAAACAGTAGCTACAAGAAGCTTCAAATAAAAGGTGTTCTTTATGTTCAACCTAAACACCAACTCCGATAGACCATCAGTAGAGCAGGTGTTTAAATTAATCAATCACTGCTGCGAAAGCTTATAGCAGTGAAAGCTAATATACCACAGCCATCACTTAATAAACGCAAAATAAACAACCCTCTAAAAACGGAAAACTGTAATGGACTGAAAGTCCTGTTTTTTATGTGGGAAATTATTTGCGTGTGTTTTAGTATAATTCTGATATATTGGCGCTGCTGTCTGTTTCTATGGCAACGATACTGAATGTAGTGTAGCTTAGAGACCTGCATGGGTCGAGTTTTACCAACCCGCACCCGCCCGAACCCGTTAGGATGACTACCGAACCCGACCCGTCACCCGCGGATATCTTCAATTCAAATGTTATGGGGAGAGGTTGGCGGGGGGTGATGGGGAGAAAGCGAGAGGCAACAGATTCTTTTTTCTGAGTTTTTTTGTCGGGGTTTGTGGACGGTGAGCAGCGGGGAGAACTTTTTTATTTTCTTTCTGAGGAGCGGCATGAATGGGGTTTTAATCAGATATACACAGCACCGAAAGCAAAATACGTGTACAAAATATTGGTGGGGACATGTCCACACCAGTCCTTAAGGAAGTTACGCCTATGATTGTTCAGATTAACTTGTCTTCTTTATGGCTTTTATTCGGTGCTTTACTGCATTTGTTTTGGGAAAATATGAGGAAAAAATAAATACAGAAAAAAAAAAAATATTTTTTAAAATCGCAAAATAATTATAGGGTGGCTAATGCCAAAGAAAGGGTGGCTGAAGCCACCCTTAAATAGGTCTAACGACGCTTATGGTTTACACTGTGATAGGTCATTGGCTGATCTTTAATAAATGTTTTAACTAGTGTGTCAGACTCATTTTTAATTGATATTAGGTTGGTACAACGTTAAGTAGCTTCTGATGCAGTTAAAGGAATAGTACACCCAAAACATGATTAGCCTTCATTTTCTACTCACCCCCATGCTGAACAACACTCTGGAGTACTTTTTTGATATCTCAAATGCATCTGGAGATCTGGGAGGCTTCTTGCTGTCTGCTGACATTCAAATAATGGAGGTCTATGGTGACCGAGACAGAAAGGTCCATAAAAGTCCACAAAAAACGTGTCAATATTCCTCCATACTGCTCGTCCAATGTATTCCAAGTGTCCTGAGTGGGTAGCATCCAGAATTTACTCGAAACGAAGTCATTTAGAATGTTTTTAGAGCATAAACAGTAGTGTATAGGATTTCCTGAAAGCGCGCACACGCGCGCTCACGACGCTACGGAAGCCGGCAGACCAAACCAGCGCATTCAGCTCGGCAAAGAACTCATGCTCTTCCTCAACACTGAAGTCCTCAGATATTTTTCTTTCGTTGTTTCTTTCTTTGCACCGGTAAACAGCACATTTCTTCTTCTATGCTTGCATTATTGGAAGATCAGACGCTGAATGCGCACTTTCATCTGGTTTGATCTGCCGGCTTCCGTAGCGTCGTGAGCGCGCGTGTGCGCGCTTTCAGGAAATCCTATACACTACTGTTTATGCTCTAAAAACATTCTAAATGACTTCGTTTCGAGTAAATTCTGGATGCTACCCACTCAGGACACTTGGAATACATTGGACGAGCAGTATGGAGGAATATTGACACGTTTTTTGTGGACTTTTATGGACCTTTCTGTCTCGGGCACCATAGATCTCCATTATTTGAATGTCAGCAGACAGCAAGAAGCCTCCCAGATCTCCAGATGCATTTGAGATATCAAAAAATTACTCCAGAGTGTTGTTCAGCATAGGGGTGAGTAGAAAATGAAGGCTAATCATGTTTTGGGTGTACTATTCCTTTAAGCTACTGTTAACACATTAGTGTAACTTAGCTTGCTATATTTCTTTAGGTGGTAGCTTTTGTGTAGTGAAGCTTAATTTATTGTTGAGTAACTGATAGCTTAGCTCACTACACTGGAGAAGTAGCTTGCCCAACACTGCAAATAAACTTGCCTTGCCTTAATTGCCCGGTTTAAATACCAACACAGCAGTATCGGATGTGTCTTAAATTGAGTTTAAAACCCAAGAAAGACTGTAAACTTTTCTTTTTTCTGAGATTTTTACAAAAGAATTCTCGTTTTAGATTCTGACCTCTCATTAACCAGACAGAAAATGTGCAGAGAGTGAAAGAGAGAGACAGCAGAGGTCCCAAGGTCAAGATTAGAACCCTGGACAGTTAATAACCTCTGTACACGGGGCAACCTCTCTACTTCTACACCAAATGACTCTAGAGAAAATACAGGGTGTACTTTCCTTTACCTGGAGCTACAGTAAAAACAGAAACATGATTTTGCTGTTATGAACTAATTTCCTCCCTCTGATGTAAACAGAAAGACACTTAACGAGTATGACTGAGAAATATTGAGACATATCTCTTTTATCATGGAGCCCCTGTGACTGCCTATAATTTCCACTAAAAAACAAATGGGATGAAAACCTTTGTTTTTATCTTCTCAAAATCTTAAATTTGTTTATAGTTTATCTATGTCCTCCTGAGGTGGAGGAGGTGACGGAGTACTCACCATGGAGGTGCTGCGGAAGAAGATGTTATTGCAGATGGAGGAGAAAAGCTTCATGCTTTCCTTAAGGCGGTTCTGCAGGAAGAAGGAAAAACTTCTTAGATGGAATCTAATAAAGTGTCATTTTAATTCTTGTTCTCTCAAGAAAACACAAATCAAACCCTATCACTATTTTTACACATCTGGAAGGGTTTAAAAATAATTTAAATAATATGAAGTATATTGGTTTTTTTTTGTTTTTGTGGTAAAAATATAGCATGTGTTGACTTTTTATGCATGCTCTGGCCCAAAATTACAACCTACTGTTCTTTAAAAACAATACATTTATATTGTGTTTAAACAAGGTAAAGGAATAATGAAAGGTTCTGCAGTAACTCTGACTGTTCAGCTATAATGTGTGGGTTGCGACGACAGTGTGCATGTACCACTGAGGGGTCTTCTACCAGAGTCATATCGTAGCCACTAAGAGCCACAACAAACAGCACGGCACGGACATCCTCGAAACAGCTGATCCACTTCCTGCGTTCTGTTCTCTGGCCTCCAACATCATACATCCTAAACCACACAGAGCAGAATAAACATGCCGTCAACAGAGCAGCTTTTTTGTTTTTGACATGATCCTTGTATTTATTTTAGATGATTTAAAGTGTATTTCAGGAACACAATAGGAGAAATGTGAAGCTAAAGGCCTTTGTCATTCATGTCCTTTTCACTGATCTGTGAAAAAACATTTGCAAACTTACTGATTTATTCTTTTTTTTTTTTGGTCACACCTTAATTTCATTCATAATTTCAATACAATATGTAGGTGGTAATGGGATGGTCTAGGGCCCACTTTGCTTCTCCAGCACTTTGTCAAAAAATTATCATATTTAAAGGAACCAAGAGGGAGAATGTCTGCTAATCATTTTATGACCCAAATTCCTGTTAGGTTTGGCTGCAACACAAAAGTCTGATGCACAACTGCATTTAAATTACTCAAATAGATGAACTAAAATCATTTAAATTCAAAACACTTTATTGATCCCAAAGTGAATTTCCATGTTGTTCTAACATCTTGTGGTCAAGTTTAGCTTATTTTTGCAAAAAGAAAGTGCTTCTAGAACCGTATTTTGCACAGGTATGTAATCTGGTCTGATATTGTATGCACTGATATGACAGAAAGAATAACAATGAAATGATGAATTAAGACATTTGTTTGGATCTTGTTAGACATCTTCAGTAACTTTAACACTATTATTTCATTTCAGCAGGTTAAGACATAAAACAATTGTTAAAATAATTAAAAATGCTTCACTAGAGCCAACAGATGCCACAGTTTTTTTATTCAATGAAGAAACAAAAAGTCCCTTAAAAGTAAAAGACAATATTTAAATTTAAGAGAGAAAAAACATAACTTTCCTTTTTTGGTTTGAAGAACTATGTTCAGTTTTGAAAACTTAAAAACTAATAAACTAATTTAGAAATATTTATTAGGGACGTTAATTTAACTCTTGATTTTAAAAACATCTCTGAAGTTTCCTTCAAAATTTGAGCAGGGCTAACTTTAATATCATACAGTTGGTGTTTAACATGGGCTCTGAGGAATAAAAGGGCTGAGATTAACTGTTTTAATTTGTTACATTTTATTTTGCATTTCTCACTATCTTGAGTTCAAACAGTAGCGTCTGAAACTCTTTCCTGACATGATGTTGATATATTTGAGGAAACAAAACTAAATAATGCGAGAACCACATGATCATACTGGAACCACTTGCTATTTATCTGACACACACGTACCATAAGTTCTTTATTGATTGGAGGAGGACCTCAGCAAAGGCTACGTTTCTGTTGGCAGTTTTATGTAATAACATCTCAGTGTCTGAGGCTCCTTCATCAGTGTGCAGCTGGTGGCAGAAATTGAACCCTGATCAATAACAGATCGGTTTCCTTTGAGATAAATATCAGAATTATTAGATTTGCACGTGAAACCCACACAATGATTGCGTGTACACATATCTGCTGACAGTGTCCACACCTACCACCCTTTTCAGTTCTCAAAAACATTTCCAGTGAGGTGATCACAACACAGTGGCAGACAGAGAGAAAAAAGGTCAATGTTCTATGGAAGGGTGAAACAAAAAGACTGCAGGAATATTAGCATACAGGAGGGGGGATGACACCTCCACCCATCCCTCTTCACCGATTTCCAGAGCCAGATGTGTCATCGCCTGGCTTGTTTTAGAGCGTCCACGGAGGTAACCCAGCAGTTTATTGAGAGGGGAAATAAACATGTGGAAACACAACAGGGGAAGCACACAGGAAAGGCAGCACTGCATAAATGTCAGGTTATAATGGAAATTTTCCACTGAGATCGAAGACAGGCAAAACGCTGATGTGTCATCGCAGACATCCACTCTCATACACACTCATCCACAATCCCACCTTAATAAGGCTAGTATTACATCTGAATGCACAGAGCTCAAGGTTTTCGCTCTCAGTATTCGTCAAAGTGAGCTATAAACAGGTAGATGCTTCCAATCTAACATCTACCTGCTGGTGAGATGATTAAAAAAACAGCAGGCCACTATTTCAGCTGACAGCAGGATTACTTCTAGAAGTAGGAGTTGTAGAATGTATTCAAATAAAGATAAAACCTCTAGGATGGCAGCATCTAATCAGTAAAGTGACATCTCTAGTCCAGCTATCCCCATCTTAATTTGGTCTAAAAATGTATGGAAAAGCATGGAAAGTTTTCAAATTAATCCATCCATCCATCCATCCATCCATCCATCCATCCATCCATCCATCCATCCATCCATCCATCCATCCATCCATCCATCCATCCATCCATCCATCCATCCATCCATCCATCCATCCATCCATCCATCCATTCAAACAGGTCAGGTTAAGTCATGTCATCCCCTCCTTGAGCCACCTTACACCCTATTATTCATGCCCCATAATGTTCAGCCTCATCTGCAGGGTTGTAATTATAATTATCAGTGAGACTGATGTTAATGATGCATAGCAGATCCTTTTTACAGCCAAAGGTCAAAGGCGAATCAGGAATCCTTTAGGCTGCCTGGACCACATGCAAATAAAACTCAGTCACCCTCTTCTAAATTTTCAGTTTTCATTGGGTTTTAACTTTTTACTTTGGGTTTTACATTACCTATCTCAACGTTAAGAAACAAAACAGAAATCAGTTTTTTAGTTTAAAAAAGCTTTATTTTAAACTGTATTCTCTAATTATAATACCTCAACTTAATCCTGGATATTTGAGAACCTTCATATGGACCTCAGTCTGACTCTTTCTGGTACTTTTATAAATTTGGAAGCCTTCTTTTTTGAATATCTATTATTTATAATTCCTTGGAAAATGCATTTTTCATAACACATGTTTTAACCAACATTTTTAAGAAAGCTAGAAATATACAGCGATTCATCTTTTTCCCTTTTACTTTAGTGCATCTTTGTTGTATTACAGTCCATACTACATAATACATATTTTTACATTTTCTCAGCTTTTAACTGACTTAAATTGCTCATTTCTAAAATGACAAAAAGGTAGATCTTTTTGCTTGAAAAATTGAAAATACTAGCAAAACAATCAATCTAATCAATTTGCTGGAAAAAAATTTAAATTAGTTGTTCTAACTAAAAATAAAATCTTATACTCATGGTTAAAGAAATTCTATAGATAAAGATATTTTTAAATTTAGTTTTGAAATGCTTTCTGTCCTTGTCTTACATAAATCCAAATAAATGTTCAAAAATTGTTAATGGTAAAAAAAAAAAAAATCTTTGTGTGTGTGTGTGTGTGTTTTAAAGATATAGGGCTGCATTAAAGCACCAAGTGTGATTGGAAGTGGTCCGTCTGCTTTTGTTTTGGTAGCAGCATGATTAATGGCACGTTAAACAATGATGACTAATGTAGTGTACAAGGATCATCATAAAACCTAAAATGGTGATAAATCATTCAAGTCATGAAAGTCTTAATAAAAACAGTCCAACATTAATGCTGATGTTATTCCATTGAGTCATATTATAGTTACCATATCACCAGCTAATGTGTTAAATAATGACAAAGGGTTTTAATATTTCACAAATGTCTATACTTTCTGTTCTCAAATAAAAATGCACAATGTTTTGTAAAAGAATAAAGTGTAATTTAACTCTACTCCAAATAAAATCAGGAGAAATGAATGGACTTCAGGAGTCACCTAATTAGAGAACAAAGTCCAAATATAAGAGTTATTTAAGTCCATTCTAAATATCTGAGGCCTCAGTGATGAATGAGTGGGAAATTAATTCTAGGGGTGCATTCACACTGCCGGCACAGTCCGGGAATTCACTCAGTCTGGTTTATCCAGTCCCTGGAGCAGTCCACTTGCAGAGTACAGAAGACAGGAAGAGGGGATTAGAAAAGGGCAGCGTATTTGAGATGATGATGACGAAGAAGAACAAAAAAGTAAAAGCTTGAATCCAAAAACAAAAAAAAAGATCTGAAAAAGTCTCATGGGGCTTCATAGAGCGAGACACAACCGCATTTGAACAAAAAAGTAACAACAGAAACCCGATGAAACAAACTTTCTTATTCACATTTTTTTCCTTCAGGACAATGCTAAACCATACTGTACCTTAAACAATTCTCATGTCATGTGAACTGGTCTGTAAAGAAAGAAGAAAGAAACAAGGAAAGAAGCAAAGAAAGAAAAAACTAAAAAGTGGAAAGATGAAAGAAGGAAAATTGCTCAAAGCTGAAAACACATACATAAAAATACTAATTCAGACTCTATACCTTAAAGTTAACCTCCATTTAATTTTCAGATGTTGAAAGACACTCCAATTATTTTAGTGCAGCTCTGTTCAAATCCAAGTGACGCCACAGCAAAGAACATCTTATTGTTTTCTCACACATGAACACAGACAGCCTCATCCAGTCAAACAATATCAGCCAGCGTTCTTCAGCAGAGCATCTAAAAAGATTTATCAGTCAAGCTGCATCATCCGTCAGCATCACCACTGAGTCCAGATAAAAACATTGATGATTTCATTTACATTCATCAATATGTGCTGACACAAACCTCTTTATCATATAATGTAATGATCACAGGCGGCTTATTTTTTGTGCAACATTTGCAGCAAAAATAGGTTTCATAGCTGAGTATATGTTCATAACCAGAAACATTCAAAACATTTTACCATTCAGGTCGGATAAGGGTGGATAAGGGTTTCTTCTTCATTAAATGTTTGCTATATTTCATCAAATGAAATGACTGGATGTAAAAAGTCGGTTTATGATGCATGCTGTTGTGTTTTTTTAACTAATTATGTAAAAGAGCAACAAAAAAAAATATAAGAAGTTTAAAAACTACTAAAAGTACCTAAATGCATAATCATGAACGTATCTAGTCACCATAGATCTGAAATCTAAAACGAAACGATTTTAATAGCTATGGTATCAATTATAGACCTAAAGAAATTCTATTTGCTCTTAAAAGAAATTTCCAGGAGTTCAGCCTTATTCCTGGCTGACGTTTATTACCAAAGTATGAGAATAACGAGAAAAAATTGTTCTCTTTTTTTTATTTTAATTACTAGTTTACAACTTTTTCCCTAAACATTTTTCATCCTTTCTATGTGTATTTTTTAAATGTGAATAACTGAACTTTGTCATTTTTTAAATTATTCAGGTAAGATGGTGCTTTGTCGGAGTTTCTAGTACAACAGAAATGTACGCATGAGCAGACAATAAGATATTATGTTATCTGCATATATTAAACAGACAAATGCGTAGTGAGGCATCTGGGAAAAAAATGCTTTAATGTAATTTTTTCTTCAGTGTCTTAAATTCTAACATTTTAACTGGGGTTAAAAAGAAGGTTTGGATACAAATGTTTTCATAAACCTGGATATGTGGCGGATCCTGTGTCACCAGGTCAATCAAAACCTAATCAACATCCACAAACAAAAGAAAAATATTCTAAAGCTCAGATAGCAATCTCAGTAAGCACTAAGATGCTCTAAAAGCTGCAGGAGTGCTGGGCGCAGATGTTCACACAGTTGAGAAGCCTTCAGTATATGAAGCAATAAGATGGATTCAGACAGGTAACAGAGAAGGACGGTTCCACAAAGTGCTCTGTAAGAACACAGCCCTAACTAACAATATGAAAGCAGAGCAGGGAAAGTGTTTTCATTAAACTGCTGCAGACACATTGAAAGCAAAACACTGTTGTACAAAATCTCTAGGAGCAATAAAACTTCCTCCCTGACAAACACAAACCAGGCCCCCAAATCCCTTTGCACCCCATTTGAGGGCTCAGTTTGGTGTAATTACATTAATTTATGTAAATCTCCTCACCAAACCTGAGGGTCTGATCTTCTTTAAGGCGAACACATCAAGCTGCACACAGATATACACAAAGAGCCCACCCAAAACACTCATGCTGCTGAATGTCAAATATCTAGACCCAATTATTTATCTTCTCAAGCATTCAGGCAGATAAGAAAAGAGGATGGGGGAGAGGATCCATCCCGCAGCGCCACCTGAGACTTCCTCAAGCTCTGGCCCGACACCATCGCACCGATGACGTCAGCATTAAACAGAAAACATCCATAATAAAGGAAATCAGAGCAGCATCTGAGTGACGCAGACTGTAAGAATGCCAGGGAAAATCAGCATTTATCTGCACGATGAGTGATGACGGATCCATTTATATTCAAAGTGTTTCAATGTCGCCCGAACTCTCCCTAGACATAAAATCTTTCCGTCAACTCAGGTCAGACGTACCACAAGTCAGCAGCATCAGAAGATGTAACGAGCGTTTATGTTTATTAGATTATTCCCTCTCTGAACTCAGAAGCCTTGAATTGGAAGAAAGAAACAAAATTTTTTACACTAATCCATCTGTACTTCTAAAGTATTTAATCAACAGCCTTCTGAGAGTGTTTTTAGATTTCTTCTTTCTAGTCTTTGCATCTGACCATGCCAGCATTTTGTATAGATAGTGCTGAGAAATAACTGAGGAGAGTGGGGAAAAAAGCTGACAATATATCAAAATTAAGCTTTTAAGATAAAGAAAAAATATCATGTTACACTGATCCTCAGCTGTAGATCTATTTTCAAACTAAAAGGTCATTGAGAATCACCCAGTTGAGTCTAAAATGCTTTTTTTAAAGTCATCCAAGCTGTAATTTGTTTTTATTTTATACACGTTCCAATAAAAGTTTAATCATCTTTATGACAGGCTTCAAATCACAATGACTCATTATTAATATTTTCATTTTTTTTAATTCCTTCTCCTCATTCGTCTCCTCTCACTCCAGGGCTCTAGACTAATTTTTTCTTTCAACTAACAATCTGGTCAACATGAAACCATCTATCGGAGCACAGTTCTTCAAGAACTTTGTGAAAAAAGACTGGTGCTTCAAGTGCTTTACACTGAGAAGTTAAGCATCAAACAGCTCTAGATAAATATAAGAAAAGGAAAAAAAAGTGTAAATGTAAAGCACATTTTTTAAGGACATTAACATCACTGATCATCTTGTGGCTCAATGCCTCATGGACTATCCTCCATTGCAGTCACTGCCTCTCAGATGACCAAATCCTGCAGCTTGTTCATCTACATCTTTAACCTCGGCTAAACCAGCTGCCCTGGTCTCTCTAGCAGCAAAACCTTCCAGACATAATCGAACGACACCGATTCTAATCAGATTTTTCACCGTTTTAGTCAAAGGGATGCTTTTGTGTTTGATTTAATATGTATATACCACCTTCTTCATTGGATTATTCTTTATTCATCCCCATGGGGCAGAATAAATTGATATAACAGCCAAACAAAAGTAAGAGTAAAAAAGGTGAAGATGTAGAGGATACTTTCCAAAAGAATGAATAAAAAGGCATTAATAGTGCAAGTGTGCTTAATTCTTAATATTAAAATTCAAATTTGACAAACAGAGGTTTTGAGATCTGGGACAAAGGCGACTTCCTGAGCTCCACCATCTCTGTCTTACTCTGCACTAAATGCATCAAGGAGGCAGAAGTTACAAGGTGACTTTGATGCATTGTCGTGTCCTGAACTGCGTGAAAAAATAATTAATATGGATTCATTACATTTCAGACAAGGACTTATAGGAGAAAAATTAATATTTTGACCCAAAGGAGACTTGTGGAAGATAGCAAGAGGAGGGTCCGCCCTTTGCACCTTCATACACAATGACGTCTTTGCATTTGTTCCTAATCACTATAATCTTATTATAAACAATTGAAGTGTGGAAGCTCAGATCATTTTATCCTGTTTCCAACGGCAGGAAACTAAATCTCACTGGACTTCTAACCCAGTTAAGATGGTATCAAGGTAACACACTTAATTTCTCAGATCGCTAGAGAGCGACCCCCTTTTTTTTATACACGTCTGTAGAAGCACGCCGCCTCCCAAGGTGCTGGATTTTACATACCTGTAGCCATGGAATTAACTGGAACACCTGGATTAACCAGTTTACAGGGATGAGCCAATGCTTCTGGCAGTGCAGTCTTGATAAAAAATCAGAAATTAACTGTCTTTAAAAGAGGACTTTAGTTCATCAGTGCCTGGTGTCCTGCTGTTAATGATGAAGGGGGAATATGAACATGATCTGCCCTCTGCTGCTACCCTGATAAGACTGATCCACTGCTGCCATTTAAACCCAACGACTGATTTTTATTTCGACGTATTGACATATCAAAGGGAGGAACCAGTCTCAGTCCAATAACTCAGGCTAATCGCTTGTCTGTGGACAGAGATAAGAATGCTGCAGGAGAGGTGACCAAAGCCATGAGAGGTGGAGAAAGGGCCTGGATCTGCAGACACTACAGAGGGCCTAGTTCATACAGTGAGGGAGGTCTACCTGAAAATGAGGTGGTTGACTTTAAACTGCGTCTCTATCACGCCTGTCGTCCTCAGTCGCACTCGAAGGACATCTGTCTCTGTGGGCACGTAGTCTGGAGAAGTGATGCGGCTCATGTTTTCAAAGAAACTGAGAGAAGAGCAGAAAGAGAGAAGAAGAGGGTTAAAAGAACAGAGAGAGACGAGGAAAACAACTTGCGGTCAAACTGGAGATCAAACGAAGGATCAGTCACCGGTGCGCAAGTTCATTGTTTCTGTTTGTCGTGTCGGCTGCCAGTTTGTGGGTTGGGTATGAGATGATAAGGCGGGAACCCCTGGGGGGGCTCATCACGATGAATATTCACAGAGTATTTTACCATATTAAACACACTGAGGATAAGCTCCAAACACTAACACAGTCACTGTGACTGGGTGTACACACACTCTGTGAGATCTGATCTTTTTACACACATACACACACTTAGAGGCATCTCCACCTATGTGAACTGACTGCGACATTCTCAGCTCGTCATCCTGAATCAGTTTCTTGGATGGAGACAGATATCCTGCTGCTTTAAACCACACAAAAATGCAGAAAGCTAAAAAACATGTAAGTCTGTTTGCTTCTTCTGTTTATCTGAGGAACATTTAGAGTTTCAAAGAAGTTACTTTATAAAAAAAATACATTGTCATCAGCGTCAGGAAACATTTTTAAACAACAAGATCCGGAATTTATTCCTTTGAGCATCTAATAAGCTTTTTTTGATTAAAACATCTGAAAAGGAAAATATCATTTATCCTAAATGGTGATTAAACAAAGTAAAGAAAAGCCAAGATGAACTTAGAGATTTAATTTTTGATATCTAATAAAAATAAATAAAGAACATTTCTGTTCAATTGTAATATTTTATTTTATAATTGTAGCCTTATGATTACTAGTAATAATGTTTGAATACACAGGATTATTTAATAGGCATATGCGTTTGCTTCAGCATCCACCAGGGCTGCAAATCACTTGGTATTACTTTTCCATTAGCTGCCTCAGGAGTCCCATTAGCCAAACAGGCTCAACAGGACTACGACAAGCTTGACAGCATTCCTTTCTGCCAATGTCCACCATGGTGTTCTGGGATTACCACCACAGCAGGCACCCCAGACCTTCCAGCCAAAGATACAGGCTTGGACAATGGAGGCAGAGGAAATGGTCTGCTCAGACTCTATGCCTTCAGCCTCCCCCAGATTCTGGCAATGCAAGAAACTCTGCCAGACATTCCCAGCAGACCCTCACTACATTACTCAGGCCTTCCAAGTCTGCCCAGCTTCTTCTTTTGTCTGCAACTCCAACTCACCACCATGTGGGGATTGGTTAACAGCTAGGCTCCTGTCTTCATTCAGTTGAATGAATCGTGTGCCCCAAGGTCAGAAGATGTGACTGACTTAGATGTGACTGAGATCATGGACCTCCAACTTAGGGCATCCTATTGCCTGGCATAGATGTTCAATAATGGGACACCCCTCTGGTTCAACTTAAGATAGGCCATCCCTCCTCCTCATCTCCCTCCAGTCATCTCTATCACTTCCAATACAGGTGAAAGAAAAGGTAATGATAAACTAGCTCCACAGGTGGCTCTGTCCAGGAAAGAAACAGTTTAGCAGATGAGCTCTGAAACTGTTTTCATTTCAAAAGGGATGAAAGTGAGCACATACAGTTAGCCACAGTAAAATGCCCTAGAGGAGAAGCAGGACTGTTGCTCAGGACTAAAGTATTTGGCCTGAGCAACAGGCACTATCATCTCTCCAGGATGGTGTCAAAGCCAAAAAGGAAAAGACAGATGAAGCTAGTATGACAAGAAAAGTTAGAGAAAACATGTAGTGGTCAGAATGGGAGAATAGCAACAGAATAAAGCAGAATGATGATAAGGGGACCTTATGTCCTCCAGCTGTCTAAGCCTATAGCAGCATAACTGTAGAGATAGCTCAGGATAATCTGAGCAACTCTAACTATAAGCTTTATCAAAAAGGAAGGTTTTAAGCCTACTTTAAAGTAGACGGGGTGTCTACCTCAAAGACTAAAACTGGTAGTTGGTTCCACAGGAGAGGAGCCTGATTACTAAAAGATCTGCCTCCTATTGGAAGTGTTCTATTAGGAACATAAGGAACAATCTGACCTTTGATATAAGATTGAGCTTGGTTATTTAGGGCTTCATACATGAGGCGGATTTTAAATCTGTTCTGGATTTAACAGAATCTACAAGAAGCTCAAACAGCTACAATAAAATAAATGTAATCTTGCTTTTTAATTTTTAAGGAGCTGAATGGCATATGTTGCCGTGATTTATGAAGAAAGCAAGGATTCAAAGAAGGAAGGATGGTAGGAAGGGTACACTCTTTACACCGTTGGACAGGAACTACATTTTGAAATACAAATATTTGCTGATAAATTCTTATATAGACTTTGAATAGACTGAAATCGTGATCCTTTCAAGACAAGAATGCCAGGATTTTACCACAAACAAATATAAAGGTTAACACCAGAGTCCAGAGGATGGACTTATGAGCAAGGATCCTCACATGTAAAGTAGTGTCACAGAGACTGTGTGTGTAAGGTGATGGAAGGTAGTTCTCAGTGGGAACCAAGGGGCCTGTCGGTGTGGATAACCCTAGAAGCGAGGCCTCTCACTAGGACAGAGGATGAGAATGGACGACCTCCTGGTGCTGCTTGGGTGTTTCTCGCCACCACATCACATACACAGAGACACACACACCGTCTCCTCTACACTAATATTTTAGGTACTTTTTTCACCCCCCTCAACAGTTGTTCCTAAAGCTGTGCCCAAAAAGCACTTTTAAACAGTTTAAATCTATACTGTCTTAATATTATGCAGCTGCTAAACTCAGCAAGCATCAGCAAAAAATAAAATAAAAATCATACATCTTTAGTTTCTACCTAACATAGTTGGTTAAATAAATACTAATAAAGAGGTCTGAACCCTGCAGCTCCTGGGTTTTATGAGCTCAGTAAAACACATTTAGGCTTCTTATCCACAGAGCTGCATGTTGGATACTCACCAATTAAAGACATGTCTCTCTTCTTTTGTTACAAATAGGTGCTCTTTCTTTCCTTCTTTTCTGTCCTTTGCATACACCCTGAACACACCATGAACCATTCAAAATATAATGGGGCCAGTGTCATGCTGTATGTTCATGGGTTGCAAGGACCCAATTAAAGTCCAGGCCTAAATCCAACAGAGAATATGTGGCTAGACTTTAAAACCAATTGATGACAGATTGTCTCTGTCATATAGGTTGAGCTATTTGAGGAGTGATTTTGGGGTCTAGATCTGCAAATCTGTTGCTCTGAAACAGTTTTCAGAGGAATAACCAGATTTGTAACTGCAGAAGTGAATAGTTTTTCCTAAAATCCTTTAATCAGGGAAACTGGAAACAAATGCACAGCTCACTTTTCATATTTAATTTTTTTTTTTTTTTTTATCAAAAAAGGAACTATTGAATCATTTCTTATCCGTTTCCCACTGATAATTTAATTTGTGTGTGTCTGTCACACGGAACCTCACAATGACACCGGAACGCATCTTTGTGTTTGATCCCACCAATTAAAGATGTTTGACTCCATGTGTTTACAAACTGAGAGCCCTCTCCCTCGCTCTCCAGATGTTGACTTCAAGTGACAGCAAGCATCAGCTGCTCTGCCTTGCTAATTAGCCCCCCGCCTCTCCTCTGCTCAGCGGGTGAGTGCTTGGAAATTACTCACTACAGCGCGGAGTCGTTCAGCTCGTACTCGTAACCCCGGGCGGCCGCAGCCCTCACCCCCTGGTCGGCCCAAAGGCAGGACAGGGCGTGGCTCAGGAACGGCAACAGCACCTGATCTTCATCGAAACACCGCCCACAGGAGAGGACCGAATGGGCGTGGACCTGTGGAGAAGTGGGGATAGATGATTGGGGCAGAGGAAGATTGGATCAGGGATGGAAGCACATGTGACACTGGAGTTTATGAGCATGCTCTTTAGATTCAGTAATCACTTCAAATGCTGAAATGAATAAATGAGCACACAAAGAGAGATGTGAAAACACACAGACACATCCTCTGTGACATTTATTAGAGGAAATACGTTGGTTATCAAATCCCAGCAGGATGTGCAGTGTGGGTGGAGAGAGGAGGAGCTTTGATTACTCAAATAACAAAGTTCAAATCAAATCAAACCTCACCACCATACCACCCACCTGCCTCCTCAAACTCAGCTGATTTTACAAGCAGACTATGGTAAGATGCTGCCCTCTTCTGGCAGTCTGAGTGCAGTGCAGGTACATTTTATACTTTATCCAGAATATAGATACTAACAAAAAGAGCAGAATGATGAGAGGCTAGTTAAGGTAATTACCTTATTTCTGCTGTTAGACAAGTTGATCCGGAGGATGCCCATTCCATGGAGGACAAACTTCATGGAAGTCAGGAGGTTATCCAACACGGCCGGCTGCAAAACAACAAAAAACCAGAGGCAGAAATCAAAATTAGTGAATAATTTTTGCTCCAATGTTTCACCTAAATCCAAACAGTTTTAAACTGCGTCACTTTCCTAGAATATTTCTCCAAATGGTTTGTTTCTGACATCAGAAACAACATCAAAACAAGATTCCCCTTAAAGAAAAACTGACTGTTTGACTACCTTTCATACGTTTTTCCAGTAGAAATAACTTACAAAGACTTAGATCGGTCTGACAGTAAGAACGCTGTTACAATTTAAGGAAGCAGGGCTTCACATGACTGCATTTTAAACTTTGCTTACTATTGTTTTATTCTGACCAAAGCCTCTTTCTGATGTGTTTTCATGAGAACCTTGTGAATTTATTACACAATGCTCCAAACTATACAACAGAAACAATGCTGTGAAACTGAACACAACCAGCAGTTCTGGATTAATAAAAAATCTCAAAGTCTCATGAATTGTAAACATATTCATAGCACTTAGACTCTATAGTCTATAAAATTGAAATACTGGCAGAGGCACACGGCAAAAGATGTGCAGCTTTAATTAAAGTAAAAGGATGTTTCATAAAGTTTTCTCTTACGGGGCAGAATAAAAATACACCCCACACTTTTCAAAGATTTGTTGGTAGTAAAGTTGAAAACTATGTATAATTTTCCCTGTGAGATCTAAGTATGGACTAGTTTGTAACGGCCATCACCTAAAATTCCTACATTAAACTTTTTGGTTAAATATGTGCAGGTGTGGAGGTGTAAAGACTTTCAAGGTGGCATATTCTAGTCATGTTCAACACAGCATTCGTTCCTCCAAATACATCAAGTAATTGCTACAGTTTATTTACAAATGGCACACACTAAGGGTTAGTGAACTAAATTTATATATTTTTTGTTTTTGATTGTACATTAGTGTGTTTGTTAAATTTGCTAAATAACAAAAGTCTAATATATCAGACTTTTTCATTTATCAATTTAAACTGCTTTTCTAAAAACATTTAAACCGAAATGATCCTGATGGGTTAGGGAGCTCCAGTTTTGGTGTATGGGATTTTGAATTTTAATTTAATTGTAATTGATGACAGCCAGCTAGGGGGACCAAAGCAGTTTACTATGACAACATGATAACAAGGGATTCACAGTACGAAACAAAAAACACAAAATGAATAGAAAAATGCCACTACATGATAGTAAAAGCCTAAAATGATCAGTCTTGAGCTCAGCTTTAAAAGTGCCTTGGTCGGAGGAAGATCTAGTGTTGTTGTTTTTTTTTACAGCCCTTTGGTTAGCTGTGTTTTTTTAATTGCTTAACAAATATAATTGGATTGGATTGGATTCCAAGGTGGTTCTAGATAACTTTGGCTAAAAATTATGAAAGATAAACATAATGAATAATGGAATGATAACATTGAATTTCACAAACAGAATAATACTTGGATAACAGTGCTATTGTTTAGAGCTATCTTTCTGGCCCTTAGGTATAAAAATCTATTTGTCTGTCTATGGAACGATGATTGGATGAAAGAGTTTCCTCAGTAAAAACGGAATGTACTCTTTAAAGGTCGGTTTTGTGTTAAAGGGGCTCCAGTTTCCACACGTGCTGAGGAAGGGATCTGATTAGAAAAAAGAAAATAAAGATTGCAGATTCTTCATCAGGCCATAAATTCAATAGTAACATCTAGTGCCCCCTGCTGGATGTTACACATACTGCAGGTAAAAGGTAAATCATGCACTGGTGATATGTCAGAGTTCAGCTGTTTAAAAAACAATCTAGAGTCGTAAAATGACTCTTTAAAGCAATCAGATCTGTTTATTACTAAGCATTATAGCAGGTATTCAAAGATAAAGGTGAACTATAAAATAGACTGAGATTTTTCATAAGAATCATTATCAGCTACATACAGCAACTTTGTATGAAGAAAAACAGAGATTTTGACTTTTGCTTCACGTGCTAGAAATGTTCTTAAGCAGATAAAAATATGCCTTTAAAATATTAATAAGTGTCTTGGCAAAGGGTGTGAATAATTATATGCCTATAGTGTTAAGAAAAAGGAAAGCTAAATTCAGATTGTTGTTTGGTTTAATGAAAACTGTGGGAAATAAAGAGATATGGGACCAAGTAAAGGGGTATGAATTCTTTCTAGGAGGTCTGTAAAAAAAAAAAAAGAGAGAGAGAAAAAAGTTGACATTCCAACAGCTGAGCCTCAAATTAATCCTTTGTGACATTGGCCATTCTCTCTGTGGAACATGTGAGGCTGGCAAAGTGGCAGATACCCTACAATTAGCAAAGGAGAAACGTTTTGTGGCTTCATTGAAAACTTTCAGAACAAAGACTTATTCTCGCTCTCCTATTTTTTTTCTATTATCATCACCATGAGATAATCAATGTAATATCTCAAAGCACTTGGTAAATCAAACAACCTTGCTTTCTTTAAAGTATAGAAATCAACACCATTCTTATGACCATGAGCTCTGCAACAATCAGTATGTCAAAGGATTTTAAAAACATAGAAAAACCTAGTGGCTTTGAATGAAAAGAAAATGTTAAACTTACATGGGTTTTCGAAGCCTGATGAATAGTTTACTTTTCGATGAAAGAAATATAGCCATTGGGTCTAAAGTTATTGGAGGGTTACCCAAAGTTTTTGTCGTTAATATGTCCTTGATTTTGTGGTGGACAAAAGCGTAAAGGAAAAAAACTTTAAGAGAGGGACCAGAAACTGAAGGTGAGAAAAGTGCCAAAAGAAAGAGAATAACTTGAAATAAGTCAGCAACTGTCATTTTACACATTCTTCACTAAGTTGAATATTAAGTTTATGTAAATATTGTCTTTTATTGTTTTTTCTGAAGAAGAACCCTTGGAGAACAAACGTCATCATGGTGACATATGCAGGAGTGTGGAAAGAGCAACTATTAAAAACCCTCATCAGGAAGTTAGGGCAGCTCAGGTGCTGTATAGCCTCCAATCCTTCCAGATTCCCACCAGATCCTCTTTCTTCCTAAACATTTACTCATCCCGTTGGAGATGAGGGATTACAAATACTAAAATGTTTCATCTCCCCTTTTTCCTCCCTGATTACAACAGTTTAACAAAGCTCAGACACCTTTCTGACCACAAAGGCAAACACCCTATAGTAGAATGTTATAAAAATGTTTCCATCATATTATTCAGACACTGATTTTTGTGTTTATGTTCCTGAAATCACATCAGTCACACAGAAAAGCACCTTTCTGACTTTCACTTCCTGCTGGAGTTTAAATCACAGCGTGAATTTTGAGCGTCAGCAGAGAGGGCTTTCCAGTACAGCAGTGTAATCTCTAAATCCATCCACCTACACTGAACCATTGTTCTAGTCCAGGTTTTTTGCTGGGACTGGCTCCCTGAAATAAGAAAACTACCCAGCATTAGGATCTGGTTTGTGTCTGAGCATTAGCTAAGAAAACACAGAAAAGAATGCGGCCGAACCGGTTGCAGACTGATTATTAATTATTAACCCCCAACTGTAAAACAGTGAATCACTGAAAACATAGGGAGTGTTAAAGAAATGAAAGTCCCTGAAAAAACTACAATAATTGCATCGTCCTTCCAATAGCTTTGTAGTTTTAACACTAAACCATTCCAGATTAAACATTAGTTTTCTGTTCTTCATTTTTAAAACACATTTCATAATAAAGTCCTTAAAGTATGACATTATAATAGGGAAAGGGATTATAAAAAGATAAGAAGGAAGGAAGGAAGGAAGGAAGGAAGGAAGGAAGGAAGGAAGGAAGGAAGGAAGGAAGGAAGGAAGGAAGGAAGGAAGGAAGGAAGGAAGGAAGGAAGGAAGGAAGGAAGGAAGGAAGGAAGGAAGGAAGGAAGGAAGGAAGGAAGGAAGCCATGTCATTTTTTTCATCAACTATGACAAACATTTAGTTGAGGCTTTTTGACATTTGTTGTTGATAATGATGCTTGGTGACCAAATAAAAATTGCTCTTATATGACTAAAAGATGACGAGATGTGTGTGGGGTTTTTGTTGTCTATGCAAAGACTAGAAGAAAATGTAGATTATCATTTTTCAGACAAACAAAATCAACATTTCTGTCTGTTGGCATCTAATCTGTCAGTGAAAAGCTGAAGGATCAGGACTGCTGGGCCCCATACTGTGCCCTGTCCTCTTCTAGCAGAGAGCTGCTGAAGCAGCCTTGGTGAAACAATGTCCTATGGATCTACTTCAAATATCATCCAGATATATTTATCCATCCAGAAGAAAATCTAATATATCATAGAAACAAATGGTGGTTAATGTGGGCATAAACGAGGAAGGAACATACTACAGCAGACATAACAGGTTCTCTGAGCTGGTATTCCTGCAATAATAAGGTCCTGTTAGCATCAGGGTAAAGTTAGTTTGGTTTCTCTAACAGTAGTTCAGCAGAGTTTAACTCCTTGTTATGATGTGTTTATGGGGTCAGGGTTTATGTGTTTCAGTATCACTCGTAGTCTGGTAGTTTTAGGATATAAACCATAAGTATATGGTGACCAAATGTCCCCATTTCTGCCAACTGTCCCAATTTCTATAAAAAAACATGTGCTGTGTAGCCTGTTATTACGTTAGCAGGGGTAGCATGTTGCACAACAGCAGTAGCTGTCATCTTAACAGAAGCAGAAAAGTAGACTTTGTTGTCTTCTCCATATATTTCTTGTTATACTGGGTTGATCTCTGCCATGATCAAGACAGCTGTATTCACATATAAGATATGATACATATATTTAATTGATTTTTATTCAATTATCCACATCCATAGGAGGTGTTCTTTATATATAGATACATAATATATGAAAACAAAAATCTAAATCAGTCTAAAATCTTTTTGAATGTTCGTTGACCAAAACTTTACTAAAACTTTTGAAATTGTATGAAACGATTTAAATGTGACTAAAACTAACAGGCCTTTTGGCTTCAAAAGACTTAAACTAAAAGCTGAAAGGCTGCTAAAAATGACAGTGGAAGGAT